TGAAAGGAATGGCATGCTAACATAGCAATAAAAACTTCTGGATCACCAGTTTTGTGTTTAGCAAGTATGGAATCTGAAGGAGACCCTCATAGTTACCAGTGGATTTTGTACCATGATCTGCTGTTTTTCATTCACCTGAATCACTGACCAGCATACATAATCTTGTGTACACGCATTGCGCAGTACAATTAAGCAAGCACCCAATAGCCTGATTTAATAGTAGAGTTTGATTTAGCAGGTTGGTGAACTCTCCATTGCAATAAAAGATGAGTCATTTTTATTGATCGTGGCAAAACAGCCTAGTGAGCCTTAACCAGGGTTTGTGAACATTTCCAAGCATGAGCTGCATATCAGTAGGACATATTCAAAGCAAGTATCTTGTCAAGAGGACAATTCCCAGTGCTACCCAGGGACTTAGAAGCTAAAATACTTCTAACAGAAAGACATTTAGCCTTGCTCAACAAAAAAAAAAACAAACAAAAAACAACCTCTAAGGTGAGGAAGTTGTGGAAAGCTTAGAGTATCAAGATTGTTGCCCAAAAACATGGTGGAATAAGAGCAAGGAAGCTTCTGTGGAAGCCTCTTAGGGTTCCAAAAGAAGAATGTCTTCCACACTGCCAAACCTGAGACTTGATTCTATCTCCAAAGGCTTTTGCTGCAGCGCAGGATATTTTGCAGCTGAATCAGGATAGAACCCATTAAGTCAATAACGCCAAAATTGTTTCCAGCAGCTGCCTGGCCCTCTTTTCTCTTTTTGTATCAAGTCAAAGGAAATGTAAGTAGAGAAAGCTTGGGTGTTTTGTAGTGCATTAATCTTAGATTCCTATGTAGTATATAAGAATAAATATACGTCTAGTAAGGAACTAGATCTTGTGGAACTTAATAAAGGATGCTCTCAGATCCAGATAAAAAGAAATAATTAGTTGCTAGTAAGAGGCTTGTTGATAAAACATTAAAAAAAAAAGTGTTTTAGGTGGAGAATAACATGAAGTATCTCAGGTTTGTGGTGGGAAAATCTTATAGTAGAGTCATTATAGTTTTAAAAGCTATATTTTAGTAGTTACCTTTTAATTAGTTATTAGTTATTATGAATAGTCCTAGAACTGTTCCTTAGTTCTAGAACAGGGTCTGGACACTTTTGTCCTGTGTGTTTTATATCTGCCAACAAAATCCTTACCCACAGCTGCATCTCCTGACTGTTAATGAAATACAATTAAACAGTTACAGGATCTTGTTAGCATAAATACAATACTTGGTGTATTGTTTAACTGATGGTACCTGGATAATTGCCAAACAAGGACTTTTTTTTTTCTGATGGTAAGTTATTATGAAGTAATTTGTCTTTTAAAATAGACTGCTTTATTGATAACTTTTGTCATGGCCTCATCTAGTGTGTTTGATTATGTAAAGGGTGAAAACTAAAGAGGTACACATGGGTTGATGGGAGTTATATGTCACATGAGATATGAAGGCCTGCTGTTATCTTTCTGAAGTGCAGCATGACACCATAACAACAGGTTGCTGCCTAGACTTCTGATGACATCTGGCAGGGTTATAGACAAACTGTAGACAAATTTAAAAAAAATAAAAAATAAAAAAAATCTGTGCAATATGTAAATACATATAATTGACTCCTTGTCCCTATCAAGCCAACATGAGTTAGTCCCGTTCTTCTTCTTCTGTCTTAATTAAACATGTAACATCTGTTGTGGAGGTGGGTTTATAGTGCCTGTCTGCCTGTAGTTGATGATACTGTTGCTTGCTTTTGCCTTTCTTCAAGTATTCAGAGGAAAACTAAGTTTGACCCAGTTAGTCTCTTTGGAATCAAATGTCGGGTTAAGTCTGTTACAACTGAAGAGGTAAGAGATAATGATCTTTGGACAGCTAACAAAAGATAAGACACACTGAAAGGTACATTCCAGAGAAAATGGAGTATGTTGTAGAGAAAACCTGCAGGTTGTGTTACTCAGAAACACAAGGTGAAGTGCTTTACTTCTGGGCAGAGCAGAATAAGGATGCTATTCTTTCTAAGTACAATTAGTGTGGACTTACAAAAGGAGGATCAGGCCTTACAAATCTGATATCCTCTTCTGGAGAGAGGAAAACTAAGTAAGTCACAGCAGCAAAACTATTGACATGATTAATCAAGACAAGGGGAAAGCTTTTCATACAGGAACATACAAAAGGCTTAATCCCAAACACAAGGAGTAAGGCAAATAAACAATTTAAGTGAATAAGAAGTTAGTTACAAGTTCAAGCTCAGAATGGTGCAAGACAGGATTACAAAGACTTGAAATGAATTACTGTAAGGCTGGAAAGAAAGAGGAACAGTGAGAAAGCTGAGCAAAAATAGTCTTTGACAACTGTGTTATTTCACAATTAACAGTCTCAGGGTTTCCAGCACAAGGATGTTGGTTCCCAATTCAGTAGAATCAGTTGCATCTCACATGACAAAGCAACAACTATAAACACGTGAAAGAAAAATGTTCATTGAATATTAGACATCTTTGAGGTCAGATAACTAGGTGTAATGAATTTAATTGATTATTAATGTTATTGACCCTGAACCATCCATCCTTCACAGCTATAAACATCTTCTTTTCCTTTGTGTCCCTACAGCATTCATGACTGCTGGGAATGCTTCAGTGCTGGTGCTACTGGCAAGAACTTGAGAGAGAAAAGGCATGTCAGTTTTCTTGTGCTTTTAGCTCCCTCCTGAGAGCCTCAAAAACTGTCTGGAGGCAGTCCTTCAAAGCCTGACCACTTCCTAAGGCTGTGAATGCACATAAATTGTCAACAGCTCCAAAGGGCCAGCCTTCTCTGCTCTCTGTTTGCAGGCCAAAGATAGTTTTTAGATAGTTCCTCATAACATGATTAGGAGTATGACATATAACACCACTTCACTGTTTGAACAGTCATCCTAACTACTGAGAAAAGGCTATGGCTAGCTATCTCAGTGTGCAAGCATGACTACTTTTAAATAAAAGTAGCTTCAATCTGTTGGAAGGGCTCTCAGTCCCCCATTTTTGAGCTCCCAAGATATCGCTCCATCCACCAGCTGTGAGGTCAGGTGAAGATTCGTGTATCAGATCTGGTTAATTCACTTGCACTCTAGCTGTCAGTCAGCCCTACATCAGCATATTAGACTACACTGGTTCATAAAGGAATATTGGCAGACTACTCAGGCCCCTTCAGACTTAGCACTGCTCTCCCCTTTGGCCTTTCTGTCACCTTGTTAGGGAGCAGCTGATAACCTGGTCTCAAGACAAGTAGAAGTACCTGTCACCAGCTGGAACTGTTGGTCAGGGTCTCAATGGCATGGGCAGGGCTTACTGTCTGTGCCCAGCCCTCCATAGAGCATCCTGCATCCTGCCATTTCAGCTTCCTGGGGCAGCCAGCCCCTGCCCCAGTGATGCCATAGCAGAGGCACTCTTTGGCTGCCCTGACCACTGCTGGGGTCCAGGGTTGATGTTCCAGCAGCTCCTCCACTTGGCTGTACTAAGATGGTGAGAAAAGCTGAAGGAGCCATGTTATCTGCTGCTGCTATCTCTGTCAGAGCTGTGTTACAGAGATAGGATGCTGAAACCTGAGGTGTTCTGTATCATGAAGGGCATTATAATGAGTTTAAAAGAGATGAACCAAAGGATAGATAGATTTACTGTCTGATCAATTAACTCATAACTTCAAATTATTTTTTCTTTTCAGTTACGGGTATGTAGGTGGACTTATATTCCAAAAATGTTAATTAAATGGACTTGGATGAATGAATGTGTGGATGTATCACTGTGAGTTACTTCTTGAAAGAATGAAACTTCTTTCATTAGATGCATTATGTGACCTTAAACATCTGCCCTTGCCTCATGGAAGAGAAGGGTAGGGTATACTATTATTGCCCTACTCTTTTAGCAAAGACTGATGTGTCATGCTTTTGTATTATCTGTTACTACTGCTTTTCTCAATGCTGTTCTGCCTTCCTCTTCATCAGTCTTGACAGCACTACTCTTTCTGTTTTATGATACTTGAGGAATTTGGTCAATCCAAGATGTAATGCCATCCTCTCCCCCTCCCTCTCCCTTCCTTCTCCCTGTCTGCCTGCCCCTGCAACAAAGGCAGCGTTCTCAAGAGGTAAGTTTGTAGATTTCCAAAACTTCAGATAAGCCCTTACAAGTTTATAAAATACTGAAGGACACGTATTTGTGAAGAAAAACACGACTACAGTCTACATTCTTAGCCTGCCAAGGACTGTCAAGGATTTGGTACTATCTCTAGTTACTGCATTCTGGCATAGTGTGTCACTGGGCTGTGCAAAAGTCTTGGGTGTTTCTGTACTACAAATAATGGTGCTACTTATTACTAAATAAATCCCTGTAACAGTCTAGAATTCCCAGTAGAGACACTCCTTACAAAGGGCATGTAAACATGGGCACACTGAGTGGTTTACACTTGAGAAGCCGCATGACTGGGAAAAGAGAGAACTCTCAGATGACAACAATGAAAAGAGCAAAGTGCACGCGAATATTTGGTGTGCATGCTAGCAGAGCTGTAATAAGTCTGCTCAAAGAAGTGAAAAATTCTGGTTTGCTCCATTTATTCTGCTCTGCTGTCAGGGGAGGTTTAGGTTGAATATTAGAAAACGGTTCTTCTTCCCTAGGGTGGTTGGACACGGGAACAGGGAAGTACCCCGCTCCCCAGGGCAGCGGTCACAGCCCCACTCTGACAGAGAAATCAAGAAACGTTTCGACAGTGCTCTCAGGCACATGGGGTGGCCCTTGGGGATGGTGCTCTGCAAGGCCAGAAGCTGGACTCGATGATCCTTTTCATTCCATTCCAATTCAGCATGCTCTGTGCTTCAGTGAACCGGCCTTCTGCAGAACCAGTTGCACACCAGCTCCCTTCGCCGAGACGCTCCAGGACAGGGCAGTGCCCTCCCGCTGACCGCCGCTGCGGTCACTACGTGTCCGGCCCCGCCCCGCGCCGGCGGTGACGCGCGGCGGCGGTGACGCCCCATAAATAACGGGGCGAGGCCGGCGCTCCCCACTCAGCGGCGGCGGCGCCCGTGCCCGCGACCCTGCCCGTTCTCCAGTCGACGGCGGCTCCGGTTCCTGCTCCCGGGTGAGTACGGCCGGCCCGGTGCTCCGGCACGGCTCTGGGCGGCCGCGGCGGCGCTGGGCTGCTACCCGCCCCGCGGGGCTGACTCCGCAATATGGTGGAGCCGGCGGCGGAGCGGGCGGGGGTGCGGCCCCGTGCGCGGCGCTGACCGCCGGGCCGCCCCCGCTGCCACCGCGGCCCGGCGCGCTTCGGTGCGCTAGCCGAGGCTCGCCCGGACTAGAAAGTCCTGAGAGCCTCGTCCGCCCCTGGGAGCGGCGTTTGGAATGCCCCATCCCGGAAGCGGCCCGTGGAGGCACTTGGGAAAGCAGTGCGCCTTCCTGCTTTGGGTACCGAGGCGAGCCAGAGCGGGCGGCGCGGCTGCTGTGCCGCGCTGCTTTCTTGCACTTCTCCCCATAGCGAGAGGGGAGAGTAGGAATGAAGTTTGTGAAGTAGCCTGAGCGCTTTTCTCTCCAGTACTTGTTGTCTCTGAAATATGCTTGGACTTGAATTCTAGGCGTCTCTCTCACCTGCTTCAGAGGAGTGGATCCGACTTCAGCTAGAGCTGAACCTATTCAAGGGGTTTCTGAAACGGCACAAGATTCTAGTTGTCTTCCTTTTCTTTAGGAGTAGGAATAGCTTCACAGTTTATTGACTAGAATTCAAATGCATGCCCTGTGTGGATGGATTTTATGAGACACACTACGAACATTGAATAATCCTTAAAGTAACGGCCCTTCTTCCCTAAGAGGCCAGATTCTGTGCCGTTATCATCTTCCTTGTTCTGTAGTATGGTTTGCAGTTCATAGTGAAATCCAGCTGAACTCCCAAGTGATCTGACTTGTAATACTGTGTGTTACAAGTTCCTGAGGGTATTTAAATTCTTATTAAATGAAGGGAAAGCTTTGTTACTGCTGTAACCATTGTCTGTTACTTGTCTTGCTTGTTTCATGTACAATCTCATTACAGGCATTACTTTATCACATGTGTATGTTAATATGTGCAAATATGCCTGCAAAGTGTTAACAGGATGTCTTTGTCCTTGTTCTCCATTATGTAATGGGGAGAAGTTTTATTTTACCTCAGGTGGAATATTAACACATTCCTTTTTTGCTGTCATACTTATGAGACGGAAAACTGCTGTTGGCTCTTTGACATACCTAGCAAAAGACCTTGTAAACCACAATCCTTTTGAGGACGGACTCCTAGTTTACCTTTTTGTTGCCTTCATTCATGCAGATTCTTCTGAAACTTAAGCATTATGTGAAATCATTAGTGGAAAAGGTGCTTCTTGAAGACGTAGTTCAGCCTGCACGTGTGCATAGGATGACAGTGTGCTTCAGTGTGTTCTCCTTACGTGGTACTGCAATACTCTGCCCCTTCTATAGGGTTATTGTGGGGAGAGCTGTTAGTATTTTCTCCATGGGAATACATGTTGGCATGCATGTTGAGTACTGTACATTTGTTGAATGACCAATGTTTGCAACTCATTTCAATGGGGAGTGTGTAATAATTTAGTCTAAATTAGCATAAGGAGATTTATTTTCTGCAGGAGGGAGATCCAATGCTCTCAGTGTCACAGGAATGCTAACTCCTTAGGAAGCAGAACAGAGTGAGCCTTAGGTGGGCTCCCTAGAAGATTTAATCTGATTAAAGTTGTTGGTGGATTCTTTGTTTGACTTGGACATAATAAAATAGATTTTTAGTGACTTCCAGGATGGCTTTTATTTGTCCTGGCTCAACAGATAAGTCTGTCGTAATTCTTCTAGAAAAAAATAAGTGACTCCATCTCCTGGTTGTTCATCAATGAACTGCTGTACCTCAAAGCCTATGTCGTGCATATGCTGTACTTGCGTTACCTAAATTAAGTTTTGGATTTGTAAATTGTTACAATACAATCTGATTTCTGTATGCATGAATGTGAACATCCTGGTTCCAGTAAATGGGGTGGATCACAGAAAGGTTGTTGGTTTTAAAGTTTGATGCTTAGAATGAGCAGATATGATGCCATAACTCATATATGTTTCTTTCACAGGCTGTGCAAGGTTCAAGACGTGAAAAAATGGCATTGGCAGCAATTGATCCACAGCAGGTATGTCTGAGTAAGTCCCATAATTTCTTTGTCTAGATCAGAAAAATAGGAGTCAAGTAACACCTTTCTCTTTTAAACAGAACATTGTATCAAGGGTTGCCAACCTTCCTTTGGTGAGCTCCACCTATGATATGGTGTCCACAGCTTACATCACCACAAAGGATAATCATCCTTATCTGAAGTCAGTATGTGAGATAGCAGAGAAAGGAGTGAAGACGATTACATCAGTAGCCATGACAAGTGCTATGCCTATCATTCAGAAACTGGAACCACAAAGTAAGGCAAAGATGAAGCTGTTCATAACTTTAGTTCAACTGATTGTTTTTTATATCCAGATGCACTTAACATGGTTTAACATGGTCATGCTGGTCTTGAATGCTGTTTTGGGTAGCTGACTGAACCTGTTGCCTGACTTGTTGCATAACTGATTACACATTGATAAGACTTTAAAAAACCCCGTAATAATCCAGAGTGAAAGCATATTCCAGCTTTCGTAATACTAAATTGATGGATGACTTTTGATATGTGAAGTTATTACGCAGTCTCTTGCTCAATACCTTCCTCACTTTTCACCTGGTTTCAAATGCTACTGCTGTATTTTCTTACACTGAGAACTAGTTAAATTTAGAAGCTGTGTCACAAGGTTGTTGTAACCAGAAGCCTGGTTTTATAGAATGGCAAAGGGCGAGTTATTTCAGCTTCTTCTACAAGTTGCTTGTGAATTATCAAATGAATTTTCTTTGCCTGCAAGAAGTTTTTTTCTTATATTGTAAATCTGCCTTGTTCTTTGGCTTCGCTGCCTCAAATCTCACTGAAAAGAGGAGGAAACTACTTCAAGGATATTGCATGAGTTCTTTTTCAAAACAAGTTTTCAGTTTGAGTTGTTTTACTTGGGGAAAAAATAATTAAAACCAGCTCTTGTAATTTCTTTTATAGTTGTAGTTGCCAACAACTATGCTTGTATAGGTCTAGACAAAATTGAAGAGAGACTGCCTATACTGAATCAACCCACTGACAAGGTAAGATCTTTCCGTTTATGTATGTTGAACAGGAGAACCATACACCCTTCTTTTCTATTATCACTAAAACCCCAGGGAGACACGTATCAAACGGCTGTGCCTGAAGCACAGCTTGGAAGCAAGGAGAGAATCAGAGATGTATCTGTAGGACTGTTCGTTGCCTTTGAGAGACCATTGAGTTGTTTGGTTTTTTTCCCCATTGTTTGAAATTGCCCACCACTTGACAACATCTTTCTATAGGTGCAGTTTACTGGTGGGTGTCTTTTAAAATGTGAGTCTTTGCCTCTTTCTTGCTCCGTATGAAGCACCTAGATTACATTCACTGAAGTTTTTTGAGCTGAAAGCTGTGTGGCAGTCATGTTCTTTATTCTCTTGTACATATTTTTTCAGGGCAAATTTTCTTCTGGATAACCAATACTTGTACAGGCTTTAGCATAAATTTATTATTTCCTGGATTATGTAGCTCTCAACTAGCTAATACTTCTAGTAAATACAAGCATGTCCTATGGCAGGTTGTTGCCAATGCCAAGGATGTAGTTGTTGGAGCCAGAGAAGCTGTAACAACCACTGTGACTGGTGCCAAGGAAACTGTTGCTCACACAATCACTGGAGTTGTGGGCAAGACTAAAGAAGCAGTGCAAGACAGCGTAGAAATGACCAAGTCAGTTGTCAATGGCAGCATTAACACTGTCCTAGGAAGTCGTGTGGTGCAAATGGTGAGCAGCGGTGTGGACAGTGCTCTCACAAAATCAGAGACCCTTGTGGACCAGTATCTTCCACTTACAGAAGCAGAACTAGGTAAGACCAATTGAAGGTTTGATTTTGTTGGAATGATTATATTGGAGAGAAGCAAGCAATTATCTATTTATTGTTTGGTCATAGTGGGGAAGGGGGCACATGCTTCCCAAACTGGCTTTTGCCTTGCTGATTGTAGTAGCAGCATCTTCACAAGGAAGCAGAGTGAAAATAAAGATTTCTCTGAAAGGTGAAATTACATATTGGTGCTAAAGGACTACTCAACAAGCCCTGTATTCAGCTGTTACTAGGCAGATAAAATTGTCTCAGACCTCTTTAGTTTTCCTCCAGCTATGAATTTGCTTCCTTTCTGCATACCTAGAGAAAGAAGCTGCAAACGTTGAAGGCTTTGAAGTTGGAGTCCAAAAGCCAAGCTACTATGTTAGACTAGGATCCTTGTCTTCAAAGGTCCGTGCACGTGCCTACCAACAAGCCTTAAAAAAAGTTAGAGATGCTAAACAGAAAAGCCAGGAGACAATCTCTCAGCTCAATTACACTGTTAGTCTGGTAAGTTTAAGCTTTCACCTGATATATAAAAAACATATGTTGGCCTTGGTTTAGAGTGAAGAAAACAGCCAAAAGAGTCACAGGAAAACAGGGATTGCTCTCTGATTAAATGCATAAATACATTATTACATGTATTATGTGTATTACATTAAATACAAAGAATTTGCCATTAAGAGATTTTGGAGAGTTCTAAATCAGGCTAAGATGTGAACTAATGAGCAATTGTATGTAACTGCACTGCAGAAAAAGAAGTGAACATGTTTGAATTTATTCCTGTTTTTTAGTGCTGGTTTTGATACATAATTCATTCAGTGAAGGAAGTGTTATGCAATTTAGAAACACAACAACCTTTTTATTAGTAAAATTTCAAATTCTTTTGGGACTTGCTCTATAGCTGCTTCTATCTCTGAGCGCTTCTGGTACTTCATAGTCTTATCCCAGCAAATACCTTTATGTACATGACAAACTGCACATAGAGTCATGGCCTAGACACTTTCAATTCCTCGGGAAATAGCTGAGGCAGAGGGGAACACTACATAACATCTTAAAACTGCTTTCAGTTTTCAGTTCTTTGATGCGACTAAACACACTCTTACACTCCCCAAAGTTATTTATACTGATTTTATGAAGTATTTTAAAAGACAGTTACAAAACAGTCAAGGTAGAGAAGCCCTAAAGCATCTGTTTGGACTCTTGGCTCTACTTCCTTATTTGGCTGTATTTCAGATCGAGTATGCCAGGAAGAATGTGAATAGTGCCAATAAGAAACTTCTTGGTGCTCAGGAAAAGCTTTATCAGTCCTGGGTAGAATGGAAGAAAAATACAGGCCAAAGTGATGGTGATGATCTGCGTAGTGCTGAGGTAAATAGATGTAAATGTACACTAGAAATAAATGTATTGTATCCCATCAAGGTCATGGCAAGCTAACAGTCCCTGAAGTGTGCAACAGAGAGGCTGGATGCTGAAGCTGAGGGCAGATGACTTCCGAGAAGTAGGAGACCTGAACTCTTTAAATAAGCGTACTTCATGCAAACCCTGTGGGGTTCGTTCTCCTCTCTTGAGAATGTTCATCCTGTTTAGCATGTGAACCCGTGTTGGGATATCTGTATATAGATTAGCTAGAAACCATTTATGTGATGTGTCCAGATCAGAAATAATGATATGTCAGCAGTTTCAGGCACAGACTCACTGAGTCCTGCACATAGCTTTCAGGGATAGTTCATTGATTAGAATGTACTTACCTGCTGTGACTTGTTATCCAGAGTTGAAACAAGAATCTGCTTGACTGTCACTGGGTAGAAGCTATCAGTTTCTTTTCACAAAGTACTTGATTGCTGAAGAAATACCAAGTTTCTTCTAAGTCTTTGATGCTTCAGACTTAAAATCTGGTTTATTATCTGCTATGGCTTTATTTCTCTTACATCCCCTTTGCTTCTTTAAGTATCTTGATCAACATAAAGCTGCTACAGTCATAAGAAGACACTAATGTGCTGTTATGCTTGTTCTTTCTAGCACATTGAGTCAAGAACTCTAGCTATTGCACGGAGCCTCACTCAGCAGCTTCAGACCACCTGCCTCACACTGGTCTCAAGCCTACAGGGGCTGCCACAGAATGTACAGGATCAGGTTTACAGTGTTGGGTCAATGGCAGGTGATGTCTACCAGAGCTTTCGGTCAGCATCCTCCTTCCAAGAATTATCAGACAGCTTTATTGCAGCCAGCAAAGGACAGCTGAAGAAAATGAAGGAGTCTCTGGATGATGTGATGGATTATCTTGTTAACAACACACCGCTCAACTGGCTGGTAGGTCCCTTTTACCTACAACTGCCTGGCATTCAGCATGCTGAAAGCAAAGGTGAAGGGGAGGAAAGTTCCAGCCAGAAAGACAAACAGCCTGAACACACTACTGAATAAACTGCGTAGCAAGCATGTACTCTGCTGACTGACCAAATAAGTGGCCTTACTAAGTGTAGCTGTCAAAAAAATCCATTTTCACCATTTTTTGGTGAACAGTCTATAAATACAGGAATAGGGGAATCTACAGGCCAGGAAACTTACACATGGGCTGTTTTGTCCTGTGTAGTTAAGCTATCCTTAAAAATTCAAACTAAACTCAAGTGCCTAATTATGGGCAGCTGACAGTTGTCAAGACACCCTGTTTGTCTGTCAAACCCTCATTGTGTTTCAGTGGTATTAATAGTCTAAATGAAATCCACCATAGCTTTGATTTGCTGCTTAATTTCTCCCAGAATGATATGAAAGCCTTACGTACTATGAAATGCATTTAAATGTTCTACAGTCTAGCTATTTACACTTAAATGCTATGATTGCTTCAGATCATACATTTGATAATTGTGCATCTGACTATCTCAGATTCTATTGCTACATAATTCATGACAAAAGTTCTGTGAGTATAGAATGCCAAAGCTGAAAGTGGGGTTTCTGAATGAGTCAGCTGGAGTTAAATGCTGTTACAGTTTTAACATTAACTGTATAAACTTAAGTATTTTATAACACAATAACTTGACCACAGAATTATAGAATATTTCAAGCTGGAGTGGACCCGTAAGTGTCACCAAGTTTGACTCCTACTCCTTGCAGGACTACCTAAAAACTGAAAAACTAAACCTTATGACTAAAAGCATCATCTAGATGCTTCATGAACACTGTTCCAGTGACTGACCAAATAATTATAAACAATTTTTTTTAATATGCAGTATAAAAGAAGATTCATGCTGTTTGTACCCAGGTGCCTGCTGTTGTGAGTGTGTGTTTTTGTAGCCATTGTTTTGTAACTCATTTTTGTATGTTAGTAATAAATGCTTTAGTAGCCAAAGCCTGTCTCCTTTGTTTTAAAACAATCTAACTTGCTCTTCTGTGACTCCCTCAAACTGGGTCCAGCAGAAAGCAAGTTTGACATGCAGATGAAGTAGATGTGCATTGAAAGTGTTTGTGTATGTATTGATAGATAGATGAGATTCTGCTGCAGCATTTCCTTCCTTTTGGATTTCTGTGTATCTGTCCAGTGAGTCTTAGCTTTACTGATGCTTTTGTTGATCCTTGCTGTTGTGACCTTTAAAGATGACCTAAGCTGTGAGCTGATGGATGTTCTAATATTGAAAAGAGATGGATATGGACAAAAGAATCCTCTCCTCCCTTCACAGTAGGTGTTGTGTGTGGCTATCTACCAGCTTTGTCTTCTGACTCCCTATAAACAGTTTTTACTTCTCAGCTGCATCACCAGTTTTAACTTGACTTTATTTGTTCTCTTGAACTTGAGTGACAAATCTATGTTTACATTCAACTACTTCAGTGGAATTACTTGTTCTCAGTAAGTCCTGTGAACCCCTCCACTGGAAAAGAAGTAGTTACTAAGAAATAAGCTTTCTTGCGTTAGTGCTGTCCAGGTAAGTTGTATCTTTTTTTTCTGATGCATGCCCTATACAACTTGGGGTTGCAATCATCTAGTGTTGTAGTGCCAGCCACCATTTTCAAAGAAGTGACAAAGCAGTATAAGGCAAAAATGCGGTTCAAAGAAAGGCTATCACATAGCCGCACACTGCTACATGGAACAAATGCCTCCACTTGGCATGATTTAGGCACTAAAGCAAATTATACGCTGTCCAGCCTTCTAATGTGAGTGGGTTAGCTGTTAGATCAGGGTTGGCCTAGAAGTGTGAGGAAGACTGGTTTAAGCACAATATTAAATGAAACTGTAGAGAAACAGGATTGCAGGTAAAGATTCTGTAATTTACAATGTTTAATACTCACTTTATATAAGGGAGGTGTTTAACATGAAATCAACATGAGATGGTGAGACTCCTTTCCATCTAGGGTCTGAGTTAAGACTTCTGGAGACATAGTGCTTTCAGGAATTAATTTATTTTAAAGTTTACTATTACATAGGCCCAGTGAGAATTTTATTTCCATTTGCAATAATACCCATAGAATGCATCCACTATTGTAGGTGTGCTCAGGAACTGAGCTGGATGGAACTAATTAGGTGTAGAAGGAGTGGGCTGTTCAAAGAAGGGAATTCCTATTCTATGTGTGCTTTAAAGTCTTATTACTCTGGGACTTCATCCTGAGGTGATCTATCAAATAAGATACTCAAACTTTTTTTTTAAGGACTGAGAAGTAAACAACATCATCTAGCATTAGTGCAGATGCAGTACACTGTGTCTGTTCTGTCTTGTGTTACTGGTTTGTATTCTTGCATGGCTGTCCAGCTTTACTAAATTGCAGTAAGCAGATGAAGTAGAATGCAAGGAAAAGTTGCTACCAGCCTAGACCTTCAAAGCACTTCTTCCTTACCATGTGCTGTAGGGTGACTTCTGTTCAAAAGTTACTTGGACTTCTGGCAGCTGACCTATAACTGGTGGCTGCAAACAGAGCAAGGCCTGGTTAAATGCTTACCTAATGGCTGGTCTCCTGTGTCATGGTGTTGTGGTAGGTGCTTGTTTTGTTGGATGCTGCCTGCCCTCCCCCCAAACTTTTTTAAGTTTCTATCCACACATGCACAGCCCCCCATCCCCCATCAGAATTGGGAAGACTCTTCTCTAGAGGAAGGTGCTTCCCACAGATAAAGACGGGAAAGCTGAGTTACTGACATCTTACCTTTTTCTCTCCAGCTGCATGTATTCAACATCTCAGCTGCACTGCACAGAAGCTTTCTTCCTCTTAGTCCAAAATCACATTTGAGAATATAGCTTGGGCTAGAAAATTTTGAGGTTTCTCTGAAAACTTTTAGAAATGGTAAGACCAGATGTGTTGAAAATGACAGGAAGCAGATTCAACCATTTTCAGCAAGGCAGGTAAACTCGACTAAATGGAAGAATGTCAAAGGCTGCTAGTTGCAGAAAACCTGGGATAGTAATGGTTATAATACTAACATCATTATCACTTGTAAGGTTATTTAGGGTTTATTTAGAATTCAGAAAATTACTTTTTCTCTTCTAGAGATCGCTCAAAAATTGTTCATGCTAGTTGACACTTTCCAGGTGCATTTAACAGAGAACTATTATTCTATCATTGCTGATAATAGTTTTCTAGAAAACCTTTCAATATAAGCATTTGTGAATAGCTCCATATGGTATGCAAGTTTTGCAAACATTTTTATAGCATTGGTCAAGCCCAAATTACAAGATTTGTGTAAGGCCTGGAGTTGCAGCTAGGTTGCCTCAATCTAAAAAAAGTGTAAAGCTTTGGAAATATCTCTTATTCTTCAAGATTAATATTTTTGCAATCTTTTCCAAAATTCAACTTAGGTAATATTTTATAGCTAATAAAATCTGTGAAAGGATTTGGGAACAACTGATAAATTATTTCTCACTATTTAAAAAAAGCAGTAACTACCACTAAAAAGCTCTTTTAAACCTTCATAATTAAAAAGATGAAACAAAACTGAACTTGTTTTAAAGTATGCTTGGTTATTAATTTGCATGATCAGAGAGTCTTACATAAAGTAGCTTGCTGGAGGTGTTGTGGACAGTGTTTTGATAAATAAATTTCATTTCATTTATTGCCAATTCATGGCAATTTTATTTCTTTTGGATAAAACAGTCTCTGATGGCTAAAAATAAGCACTTGTTTTGAAAGTTCACAGAATGAGAACACTGTGTCAAAATGCTAGTGGCTCAGGTCTAAAATCTTAGCAAGAAGAAAATGGATTGAAGTTAGAATTGACATTAACATTTATATATGTGTCCTGGGGTGACTGCAAAAGACAGCAAAATGCCAAAGTAGTTTTTGGCACTGTTTTATGTGGGGATGTTGCAAGTATTATATCTTTGTAAATGATATACTGAATCATGAAGAGAAATTGCATGAAGGAGTTATATCTGGTCTTACTCTTTTATTGCAAGAATTGCTAGGAAGTTGAAAGAAAGCAGTGAGTCAACTGTGAAAAGTGGTGTGGAAGCAAGGGTCTTTTACATAAGCAATCTCATAACACCAAGGGCTTGGCATTGTTTTAGTTAGACTGGTGCAGATGTCAGAATATGTGATTCTAATACAATTTAGCACAGTCAAAACGGAGATGAATCATATTGACATCCAGTCTGTTTTACTCATGCTGAGATACACTGCAATTTGAAGTTCTTTCATGGCTATCAAAAAATTTACTATTACATTAAAGGAGTCAAGTTCTTCTGCTGCATGCATTAAGGAGATGAAGAAGGCAGAAACTTAAATGTGAGCAATTACTCTGTTGCCACTAAGAATAAAATGGTTATAAGTAATAAAAACCTCTTAAATGTATAACAGAGAAAATTCTTACTGGTCAGACACACTTAAAAAACATGGCTGTGTCCTGGTCAGTTTAAATATATATAACCATCCATTTGGGCACATTCTTATTTGTAAGAATGTATTTTGCAACATAAGAATTGTTTTTCTACCTGTATTTGTATACTGCAGTATGAAATACAAGATCACGTGCTGATAATGGGAAAACTTGTTGCTTTCTCTAAGTGCAGTAATGAGAGTTTTAGGAAAACTGCCATAAGCAGAAAGATGGAAAATAATTATTTCTGGTAGAAAGATGTGTTTCCTCCATTCTTAGTGCCTTTTGATCTTTTGGGAAACTAAAATTACTGATGTTATTTTGATCAAACTTAAATTCTCAAAGTGGTCCACACATTTCATGGTATCCACAATAGTTCCTGGTTAGTTACATGCTGCTTAAGTTCTTCTAAAGATCAATTTAAATAAATAACTAGTATTTAAAAGATCCCTGGGTGTCCAATGAATACCTATTCTGTAAGACCAGTAAATTAACATGTAGAGCTTCTGTGTTGAGCACAGCCTAGTAGCTGAAGCAGTACTCCCTTTATTTGATACATTGTCAGCCCTCCTGCCCTGCCTTCATAACAGGCAAAGCATAGATTTTTACTGCTTACTGTCTCATTAAAGTAAGTCATAAGGTGTTTTGTAGTTAGGGAATGCATTAAAAATGCCACTTCAGTCGGTGCTGAGCTTAAGTTACAGAAATGCCTACAAGCTGCTGTTGCTTTGAACAGAAACAGTCCTGTCAAAATGCAGCAGTAGTTATTTGCTGATACTGTGTCTGGCTCCAAGTATGTCACATCACCAACATTAAAACTAACCATAAATAATATTACAGATATGAGTATTTTTCACCTGGGGCAAAAAAACTTATAAGTAAATTGCTTAATTTTATCCTATTTTTCAGAAGTGCCTAAGTAATCTAAGTCCTACAAAGGGGACTTAAGGGTTGGGACTTAAGCTCCTAAGTGTCTTAGACAACATTTTTAGAAGTCTGCAACATCCATGTATCCACTGATGTCTCTCTGGCAATTCCTGAAACCCTGTGCTGCTTAGCAGTACAGAATACGCACAGTTAAAATGGAGGCCAAAGTGACATTGCAGTTCCAGGTTTTGGTTTCATAAAAAAAATGTCTGATGCAGACGTTGGCATCCAGAGCAACACAGCAATCCCTATCAATCTCCTCAGGGCAGATTACTTTGTATAGTCCATTGCTTCTGTGAAAAGAAGAAAGGTAAAATTAGTTTTAAAACCTCCTTTCTTAATTTTCCAGTCACCAGTTTCACTAAATTTAGTCCACTGCATTCAGCTCTTGTCCATCTCTACTATATAAAGTCCTACCTTCTAAGCAACTGATTTCCATCTTGTGTTGTATTTGATTGATCTGTCTTAATGGTTCGTGTTTTCTATATGTCTGAACATATTTCAATCTGTAATCAGGATGTTTGGTCTGATTTCTGGAGGTGCTGAGCATCTTTGTATCCTGTCATCAGTGAAGGAGTACTGCACAAATCTGTTTAGTTTTACTTTTAAATTGATTGAAATTTCATTCCTACACAGGTTCCAGATTTCACTATTACAGACCTGTCTTCAGAGTCAGATGATGTACCCGACATTTTGGATTTGGACGAAGAGGATCAACAGGATTTTTCACGCACAAATGGTCCTTACACTACAGGGCAAAGAGCTGAATAGAGAAGCATAAAAATGTCTTTTTGATACAGTGTACCTTTGCCATGTTTAATTTAGATTTCTCCTTTTTAAAGATGATCCTGCCTAGTTTAGGGATTATGGGGATATTTTATTATTTTTTTTAATCAGTACTGTTTCACTTAGCTGCATCAAAAATCTGGGTTTTTCAATGTAAGGAATGCACGCTACATTAATTGGTTAGCATGGGTGTCAGGTTCCCATTCTGCAAGCCAGGTATAGCCTAACCAGTGTAACCAACTAATCTGACCTTTGTGGATGATTTGTTCTTCTGCTGGTAGCAGCCATGAGAATACCCCAGTGCTTTGCATAAAGGGCTGCCAACAAAAGGAGTTGATGAGGATTTGCCCACCAAATTTCCCCTTTCAGTCTACGTGAAAAGCAGTGCTGCATCTACCTCTTTGCTGCTGGAAGGGGTAAGAGACTTTGTCTATCTCAGATTTTCTCAGGTTCTTTCGTTAGGCTCTGTACCTACAGAGCTTAGAAGCTTAGAGCTTTCCTTTGGCAAGAGTGCTTTATGCACAAAAGGTCTTCCTTTCTTTCCACTTGCCTTCTGTGTGCAAATATTTTGGCATGATGTCATGATTTGTCATGATGCTATCAGTTGTGGCGCCTGAGACTAAAAGGGAGTAAATGCTTCAATATTAAAGTATTTTGGGTATAAGGACAGCATTTAAATAAGGAAGCGAAAGAGACTGTAAAAAGAAAGGAGAAATAGAGAGTAAAGAGATAAAGACTTCGGATAAAAGAAAACTTGGGAAAAAAGAAGGAATTGAATGTGAGTTCTGGTGACAGTGGTTTTTAAAAAATCTTTTAATAAAATCTCACTCAGTTATTTGCTAAGGGCTGGTGAGTCTGCATTTGCTCGCACACAGTAACTTCTCTAGGAGCTGGGGAGAGTGGGAACGGGACTGGAGGCGCACTTGTTAACATTTCTTTGCGAGGAGGAGGCCGAAGTGCTGTCGCAGAGACCTCTCGGTGTCGTCGGTGTGCCGGCAGCGCAGTCACGGGAGTTGCGGCAGAGCGCCGCTCTGCTGCGGCCGCGGGCACGGCGCTGCGCCCTCATCCTGGGACACCTGTCGTGAGGGCCTGTAAATCTGGTCACTGAAATGCCTTGGAATAAAAGTTTGAACCGCACAGCCCTCTTGCCGGTGCGAGTTTTTCTTGTTAGGGCTTAGGGTTGTTTTTCTGTTTTTTTTTCTGGGGGGGGGGGGGGGGGGGGGGGCTTATTTTGGCTTAGTTTTTCTCACCGATTGCAAAATGCCTATTTAAATGGCAGGGCCCGCTGGAGATATGCCTGCACCCGGACTACAGCTCCCGTGAGGCAGCGCGCCCGGCTCGCTTCGTCTTTGGGCTCCGGGGCGGGCGGGAGGTCTCGCGAGGGTAGCGGCGTGGTGTGGGCGGGCCCGCGCGCGGGAGTTTTTGGCGGGCTCGAGAAGATGGCGCGGCTGTGAGGGGCTGGAGGGGTGCGCCGTCTGACCGCCCGCTGCCGACAGCTGCCATGGCCGACAAGTGGGAGAGCGATCACCTCTGGCTCTGTTTGCTGGCCTTGGGCTTCCGCCCGAAACGCCATTGTGGCGTAAAACTAGGGAGGTGAGTGCTAGGGAAATCTGGGAGAGGGTGGAGACGGGGGATTCCAACCGGGTCTCCCCCGGGAGCGCGAGGCGGGAGCGTCTCGCCATGGCCGCTGAGGGGCCTGGTGCTCCTGGCGACATACAGCGCCCGGGAAATGCCCACATTGCCGCTGCAGTCCACATTATTATCTCAGACTTTCTGAAGAAATGAAAGTCAGGACTGGTGAGAAGTCTTGCTCCCCCGCACAGTCCTGTGGGGAAGGCGAGGTGAGGGTCTTCCTAGCGCGTGTTTTGAGAACTTTCATTGGAAGAGAAATTGCCGGAATTGTTTCGTAGCATCGTAGGTTGTTAGGGGCCTGGAACAGACCTTAGAACATGATATATATTCCGCTGCCGCCCTCCCGCCGTGGGCCGGGACGTATTCCACTAGACCTGGTTGCTCAAGGCTTTACCCATCCTGGCCTTAAACGCTCTCAGGGTCGGGGCATCCGCAACCTCCCGAGGCAACCGGTTCCAGTGCCTCACTATTGTCACAGTAAAGATTTTCCCCCAAATATCTAACCTAAATTTTTCGTCTTTCAACTTGTACCCATTATTCCGTGTTCTGTCTCTACAGTTCCTAAGAGTCCCTCTCCAGCTTCCCTGCAGGCCCCCTTCAGATACTGTAAGGTTGCTATTAGGTCTCCATGTAACCTTCTCTTCAACAGGCTGAACACCCCCAGCTCTCAGTCTTTGTAGGGAGGTGCTCCAGTCTTTTCAATTTCGTGCCCTTTCTCTGGACTTGCTCCGACAGTTCCATGTTCTTGTTGTATTGGGAGCACCAGAACTGAATGCAGCACTCCAGTTGGGGGTCTCACAGGAGCAGAACACATGGGCAGAATCACCACCTTCGATCTGCTGGCCACCCTGTTTTTGTTGCGGCCCTGGATTTCACCCGTGTTAAATAGGATGAAAAGTGTATACTTCTACATAGGAAATAAAGCATTCAATTAATTACTCTGTAACATAACAGTGTTTTGTAGTCTTTAGCAGCCAGTGAAAATGCACTGCTGTCACCGTAACTGCTTCTGATGTGGCTGTTTATTTATTAGGGATATGTTTGCTAAACCAAACAGCAGAGCATTTCATGTCGTTGCCCTCTTCTTGTTTACTAAGCTGGATAAGCACCGCGCAAGACAAACTTTCAAGTAAGTGCTTGGTTTCTGAGGTTACTGCTATGCCCTTAATTAAGAATATGTTTTATACGTATTTTGCATACATGTATATTTTATACATATTATACATATAGTTGCTGGAGGGGAAGGAAGTGGTTTTTTGGGGAATGCTTTGGAAGAAGAGCATACAGTCAGAGAATTTGTTTCCTTTTGATCACAACTCATTCACTCAATTTTGATCAGTCTGAAACCTTGACTTAATTAGTTGTTTCTGTTGCTATCTGTTACTTAGAAACTTTGATATAAATTTTAATAGCTGATAAATAATCTACCTGTCCCATTCTTTTTGACTGAGCAGAAAATACTTGCAGTTTGTGGGTTGTTACAAGGACATTCAACATGGCAAGAACCGAGTGTTCTTTAATGGTTTTCTTTGTATAGCAGAGCTGTTTCAGCTTATGCATTTGAAGATGTGTTGGGAGGAAGACCAGTGGTGTGAAAATGAGGTTTCTGGCCTCTTTTTTTTCTTCTTTGCATGTCCAGAGTTAGAAAGAGCTGCAGACAAACCTCTCTCTGGAATAATCTCTGATTTATGGAAAGAAAACATTGTCATTTAACAAACTTTCATCTCTTCTTGGTCTAGGGTATATGCCCCTCATTTTCTGGCTCGACATCAATAAGAAAACTGTGTCTTACTCTTGTTTTTACGGTGGTTAATTAGGTATTTGAATATTTGAATGTATTTTGACATGGCTTTTTCTTTTTCTTTTCCTTCTTCCTCATCCTTTTTAAATGAAAAGGCTATCTGAGTTCAGAAAACAAGGAAGTCCTAAATTTAGGAAGCACTGCTGTCTGTGGCTAAGAGAAATTTCAGTGAGTACTGTAAAAGGTGGAAGTTGATGCTGTGCTGGTTTCTGTGACCTTACTCTTTTTTTGAGGGAAGTGTTTTGTATCAGAGTTTTAAGTATGGATTTTCTTAATCAAAGATTTCAGTTTTGCCTTGTATATTCTTTCATATAGTTTATTCTGGACTTCCTTGAAGAAAAGATGTTGGCTTTGGGGAATTCAGAGGACAGAGGTCTAGTTGGGTCCTAAAACTACTGTTGCTTGCTTTTGGATAATAGTATTTGATTAAATGGAAGTGTAGAGAATGTCTTAGCCCTCTAAGGTCAGAGGGCTGGTAGGTGAGAATAACATCCTTCAGCTTGAGGGCTGTTTAACTTGCCTGGGAAAGTGTTTATTATTGTGAAAGCTGATTCACATGCATAAAAAAATTAATAGTATTCTCTTGTATATTGGGAAAGGAGCTAAATTTAAAGACAAAGCAAAACTGATTTCTTCAAGTCTTGTTGCTTTCTTATGCTGCCTTTGTTTTAATGATTGTTCTAAAAATCTTGTCTTTATGTTCTTCAGCACTTCTGTATTTTAGTAATAATGGATAAAGTGAAAACCAATGGTGCAGTATCTTTAAATATGTTTAAAGTACACTGATTCAGGACTTCAGTAGAAAATGAAAGAAAACTTGAATGTGTTTTCAAAGATAGAGATTACCAGTTAGGAATGAGGAGGGTACCTATTTTTAACATTTATCCAACACTGATTTCAGTCTTTGCTTTAATACTGGCTTGTGTATAGAACTAGATGGGTGTTGGGAAAAATGAAAAAAGCTTTATTCTCTTCTGCTCATTACAGTAGGTGTCAGCTGTGGTGGCAGTCATTCAGCTTTGCATCAGGCTTGCTAGTGGGTAATCTGCACTGTTTTGGTATGCAGACAAGTCTTTGATAGCTGTTGTGTATGCTTTACTTCTTAGATTTGTTTTGATTTAAAATGATTATACTTTTCTAGAAGCAAAAGGAAATAGGTATTCCACGAATTACACCTTCCGTGCTCCTTTGTCCTGGTGGTGCTAAATTTGTTCACGTGATCTACCTTTTTGCAAGATACATAATGATTGAGAACATGAAAAAGCTCTCTGTAGGTAAGCTATATGGGACAATAAAAATTATTAATTTGCTATTTTTGTAAATCTATCAAGTCTTCAATATATGTCAGGAGCTTTAAGTAGTTCTTAGTTGACTGCTCAGGTCAGAGTCTTTCACTCTGTGCATTTGTGCAGAGCTACTGCTGATAGAGCAATGCAGATGGGTTCGCTCTCTATTACTTTATGAATCTTGTTACAAGGTTCACCTGTGCAATGCTCTGCACCATTACCCACACAAGCAAAGGTTTGGTGCAGAAGTCTTGGATGGCTACACTGTTTTCTTTCTCAGAACTTGAGGAATTCTGAAGGATCAGATCTGTCTGTTTCATGTATTATTGTAACCTAAAGGGTATAGAAAGGGGGTGAGAGTGAGGGAGTGAAGATGTATACTTCAGGAAAAAAGGCCAAAGAGGCAGTACACTGCATGCTATATTTCAGTCCTGGTAAAAATGAGCATCTTGATTTGTGATTGTTGCAGTTTGATCTAGGTAGATTAGAAAGTTGTCCATTTGTTAAAAGCAAATAATGTAATCCAAGCGTTGATTTCTGTTTAGGCACTGGTATACCTTTTGCTGAAGCTATAAGATGGAGACCTGATGATATGTACATAGCAGAAGCAAGACACAGAGTCGCATACAATAAACTGCTGCAAAATCTTCGAAGGGAAGACTTTGTTATTAAAGAATACAGGGAAAAAGCACAGTAAGTAATGCATGTAAAGAAAATTAGTCTTTCCATAAAAGCTGACTTACATGTATGTGTTTTTAAAAGGATTTGAAAAGTCTATATAGGCTTTACATCACAGAACTCATTCTGTTGAACTGCTCCCTTATTTTCCCCCTTTAACTTCTTTCATCAACAGTTCTACTGCTTGTAGATCTTTTGTGAAGCATCATAGCTTAAAGAAGTGAATCATTTAGGAGATGCCGTATGGTACATGGGCATTAAAATGGTCAGGGAATTCTACATGTGTAGCAGTATCATTTCTTTTGAAGGGTTATATCCTAAAATATAACATTCTCAGAATGAAACACTGGGTTTTGTTTAGTGACTGTGAGACACATTTTATTTGCTTAAACCTTAATTATTTCACCAAGTGTGCTGTTCTTAACTCTTTTTTACGGCAGACACTTCCAGGTTGGGAAATGTCGAGAGCTGGAACTTTCTCTGCAAGCATAGAGTAATATACCAATGGAATTTACAGAATTTGTGTGGGATTATTTACAGTATTGGAGCACTGTCATGGACAGTTACAAGTTTAGTAAATGGCAGAAAAGGGTGAGGGGTTGCACTGTAGGTAAAAGAGTAGTGTCAGTGCGTGTAGTGTAGCTCCTTACAAGAGGACTGATCACGTTTCATGACTTTGGATGAGGGTTTAGCATCCAGGGAGACCTCATGGTGTGTTTCTGCTGGCCTTGATTCTTATCAAGGACTTCAGTTTACCCTGGTATTTCCTGGCGAAGTAGTTCAGTGGTGCATTAGAGATGGCAGGAAGCGGGAGTACCTAGAGAATGACTTCATAGTGCAATCACTGAGAGTGTTGAGTCAGAGCAGTACTGTCTTGAATTCACTGCTTGTAAATGAGAGAAACTTCTTTGGAGATGTTAGAGGGCTCTTATGGTCTCTGCAGCCAAGACTTAGAACCTTCATTCCAAAGGAATGTGTGGAAGACAAGAGGAAAACTGATGACACTGGCCTTTTAATTTGAGTGTATTTCCACTGACCTAGGCAACTGTAGGAGATGTCTTGTGGAAAGCAGGAAAGTTCATGAGTGATAGGATACTTTCAGAGATCCTTGCTGGAGCTCATGTGTGATCCATCTCATAAAGTGAAAAAAGAAACAGGTGCAACAAGGAAGCTGCCTAATTAGGACAGTGTAGCAACATGGAATAAAGAAAAGGGAACTGACTCCAAGACACAAATACAGAAATACTTCTCAGGTGTGCAGTGATGTAGCTAGGAAGGCCAAAGTTCAGCTAAAGCTCCAAGAGCCTGCTAAGGTCTTAAAAAAAAATACTGCAATATGTTATTAGGAAGTGGAAGTACTTAAGGGATTTAGATCTGATTCTGAACAAAGTTGTATGTTGCAGGTCTCACAGGTTGGAATACCCAATATGTACCTTGCTTTAGGCTACATGGGTAAGATCAGTGGCCCAGTCTCTGTGCCAAATGGTGAAAGAAGCAGCAGAAGAGGGTAAAGGAAAGGTTTCATTGCTTTCATCCAAGGGTACAGGGATACTTACCTAATGTCATTTCAGAACAGATTAATATATTAGGAAAGACAGAAGGCTAGTTAAAGGGGTGAGCCCAAAGTGTGATAGTGCCTCAAAGTCATAGCTAGTCTGTGAGTGGAGCTCGTATGAGTCTGGTGCTGTCTTCTTAAGGAATATGGATGACAGGCATGAATACAAACCCACCAAACTTGCAGATGTTGCCAAACTGTGAGGAAGGAGGAAACACTGCAATGGGGAAGCATTTCACAGAGAGACCTTGCTGGGTCTGGAGACTTGCACAACAAAAATTTTGTGGGGTTTAACAAAGACCAGTGTGAGGTCCTGCACCCTAGAGAGAAAACAGACCTCAACAGCAGCACAGGTTTGTGGGTGATTAGCTGGGGAGTAGCTCTGTTAAGAAGACTCAGAAGTGAATGTAGTGTCAGGCCACAAGCTGAGCATGAGTCAACAGAGTGTCCTGGTAATCAGGATCAGCAGCCTACCATATTGTGTTGGAATGAGCCCTGGTCATTACCATTTTTCAGATTCTTCCTATTCTTCTGGGGCTGGGGAGGTGGGAATTGAGTGAGCAGCTGTGTGGTACTTAGTTGCTGGCTGGGGCTGGCAATTCTAGTGCCACATGTGGAATACTGTGTTTAGTTTTGATCAGCCCACTTGAAGGTAGAGAGTGAAAGATGGGAGAGGTACTAGCAGAGGGCTGCAATGGATTGCAGGGTTGCAGAGTGTGAAATATATGACTAAAAACTGTAGAAATTTGGTTTGTTTAGCCTGAAAAAGGCAATTCTAGGGGTTTAATCAGAGTTTCAGTATTTAAGAAGTAGTTGTAGAGAACACGGAGGCACTCTTCACAAGGATGTGTCCTGACAGGACAGGATGTTTAGGGGGAAACTGCCTCTGGATTTAAAACAATCTCTTATAAGAACAATTAAACTGAAAAAGGTTGCCCTCAGAAGTGAAATTTCAGTTCCAGGACATATTCAAGACTTAGTTTGACAAGACTGAGCAGCATAATTAAGGCTCTGTTTTCAATGGAAGGCTCAACAATGCAATTTCCAGAGGTCAATGTCTCCTAAACTTCTCTGATTTCTGTAATTCTGTGTCTCCTGTGACCTTGTTTGGGAAATACTGCCACTGTTTACTTGTTTGAGTGATACCCTTCAAAAATGTATTTCTTTAGAGTTCTTTTTTTCATTCTTGACAATGTGTCAGAACTCTGAAGATCCTTTGGAATGCAGCATGATTGAGGCACCCACTGTTCCTGCAAATCAGACTACTACATTTTTTCATGCTTAAAATGTCAATAAAAGCACTTTGACAAAAGATCTTCTGTGGTCCAGCTGCTTCTACTCCAGTATTCTGTTCTCTGGTCTTTTGAAAATGAGGGATTTGAGTACTGTAGAATTGCTGAATATATTTGTGGTTCATGTTGATAATAGATGCTTACAGTAACTTAATGCTGCTGGGTATAAGAAACAGCTGCCTTACTATGTAGATCTGGAATGGACATGATTAGTGACTGTAAGCAATTCTGAGAAGCCTATACTAGCTGTTGAATTTTTTCCTAGGGTTTTAATTAGAGAAATAAAACGGACAGTGTCTGAATATGAAGTTGTGCAGAAGCAGTGTTTCAGGTAAGTGTTTCTTCTTGTAACCAAGTTAGGATGTATGAAATAGATTAGATACTTAGTTTTATGAAATATGAACTGTAATTCCACTGTATTCCACTTGAATTTCTGTTTTGTATGTGCATATAGGATGAAACAAAATAACCAAAACAAAAATGACACAACTGACAAAATTCAGAAGGTGAGCATTTTGTTCCTGCTGTGGCAGTGTGTTGAATTCTAACATTTCTGCAACACCTACTGTCAGATACAGTGTTACTTGCACTTGTTTACCTGTGGTAATGTTAGCCCTTTCATCTTCCTTCATGATGCTTTGATACTATATATCATTATAGATACTATAGCAAACATTTTAAAACAATGTTTTTGTCCTTTCCTATTAAGGTCCGCAGTATGTGGACACTTATAGTGGAAATACTTACATCTCTGAAAAAGGAAAAGGAAGTTGTGGATTCTGTACTTCAAGACTGTGCCAACCCATGTGTTCTGGATGGAACTGATGTAGCTGTGAGGGTTCCAGGGTTGCTGACTTACAGAGTTGAAAGTAACATACATGGAGTAAGTGGCTTTTTATCCTCCTTGCTGAATTGCTAAACTGCTTTTATTTAGTCTCCAGGGATGCAATTAAATACCTTAAAAAAATTAAACAAGTACTTCATGGATTATTAGAGATGATTGCAGAAGGATGCATGAAATATGTATAATTCATATGCAGAGATTTATTATTATTATAATGCTGTTTTGTATTTGTTTTGCTTAACCCATTAGCTTTTTCAGTTCAATAAATACATTGGTAAGTCTGCCTAATTAGTACTTGACTTTTTTTTTGTTGAAACATTAAAATTATTTTGGCTGGTTTAACTGATGCTTCAACTAATTTGCTTTTGTTTCCATTCTGTAGAGTATGGTGTCCAGTTATGGCATTGGTGTTGTTTGTGCCATATCTTTTGGGGCAGTGGTCAAACAGAATACCTCATTGGTTGAAGTTTTCTTGGCTTGTATTGCTTTAACCTAGATTGTATTTTTTGAAAAATGAAACGATCAGGACCTGAACCTAAGTATGACAGTGTCCTGGTTCTGACTACAGAAGACATAACTTTCTGGTGTTGGTACTGTTTACTAAGTTTTTTTTTATTGCTTGCTCTACTTCAAGTTTTGTACAGGAAATTTATATGAAGATGGAAAACTGAATTTCCTAACAGTTATTCAGTTGTTAAATGAAGCGCTGATGACATTGAGAGATGAACCTTGTCCATGTGAATTAAAAGAATTTCACAGAATTGAGGACATGGTTACATCCTACAAGAATGCACTACAGGAGTTGAAAACACAAAGGTAATTGTTGGGAAATTTTCTCTAATTGCTTGATCTTAAATGGTAGGATCATGTCTATTGGTGTCTTTTCCAGAAAAATGTTACAGCAAAAACATGTTGGTTTGGTCTTTTTCTTGTGCCTCTGGGAAAATGAGTGTTTGTTTTATTTATGGCTTTTTATTGAGATTCTTTAGTTAACTTCAGCTTTTTGCCTTTGTTTCATTAATATTTTAGTCTTTGTTCCTAGGGACCTAATTTGCTTGCTGATCTGATTGTTGCCTTGTTTTGTCTTGTTGCATTAATAAGTTCTGAGATTTTTAAAACTTTCATCTGTAACTGGCTTAGGGAAATTTAAAGTGTTTATTGTGCATATTTTTTAGTGCAGTTTTTTAAATTCTGCTGTAAGAGACATGAAGACTACCTAGCAGCAGCGTTTTTGGTTGTGAGATTTAGTTCTTAGTGAATGCATAAATGCATGAATAAATCAATACATATCAAAGGTTTGTCAGGATAAAGGAGAAAATGTAATCCTTTTCCTCTTTAAGTAGAATTGTTATCTTTACCAACATCTGTCTTCATTTTTCATTTATGTATTACAGTCAAAGAAGAAGGCAACAGCATTGTGAGCCAAAGCAAGGGTCTATTTCTAGAAAACAGGAGATCTGGGAATCGAAGTGGAAAACAATTCTTGGCCAGTGTCCTTTTAATTTAATCTTTAAAGATGATCATGTAAGTAGTGTTCATTTTATCTGATTCTGGGAAAATAGAAAAGGGTGAAGGTGAGAGAGGATGTAGGTCAAAACTGTTGTGTTCTGTTGCAACACTTCTGCTTTCTATGTAATGTTAGGGGACTCACATAGTTCAGTATACCTGATTCTGCTTTAAGAAGTAGTGATTCGTAAAGAGAGTACATTTGACTTTATGATACCTAATGTATTCACTGGAGATGTTGAGATGGTATATCAGCATAATTGTGAGCAGATTAGTTTTTGGTTTGTTTCTGTCAGTCCTCCTGTAGAAGCTGAGTATTTGTATGGTCAGTCTGAATATTTGCTGATATCTGTTTTCCCTTTTTAAAGCAATGCACTTGATGAACAAACAATTATTTTCATGTTGATGATCACATTGACTGAAGTTATACCCTTGTGTAGCTACCCATTAAGGAGAAAAGAGACTTGATGTTAAGTCTGACAGCTGGTTTGCAGAAAAGCTGTTTTAAGTACCTGTCTGTTAATTACTGTTGATAAACTGACTTTTTCTGCCTGCTTCTGTAACTTTTTCTTTTCCATTTGAAAGCAGCTAGCTTCACTCCAATCTCTTAGTTCTTCAGACGAAGATGAAGACAGTGTCCTTTGTCAGTCATTTTCAGGTGAGTGAACAGTAGAAGCTTCTTTTCCTTCTCCCCCACCACCACAATTGTTAAAAATTATGTGGAGTCAAAAAGGTTCCTTTCTTGCATTTCAGATAGTCTTTGATAGTCCATGGTAATTGGTTGTGAATGACTCTTTGCCAAAATTGCCTTGTATTTTTCAACTTCTTAGTATCTTGAAGGTTCTCTGAAGCTTGGCAAAAACCCAGTACTGAGCTGTTTGGTATTTTGTTGTTCTTGCACAAAGGATGTTGAGGCAGATGTCCATGTACAAAGGTTTATTCCTGGATTCTAGAGAAGACATTCAGTCTAACAGTCTAAAGGGTATTTGTGTTGGAGGAGTAATAGAGAGAAAAAGAAGTTAAAACTTTTTCCATTGACCATCTAGGAAAAGAAATTGAAGGTGCCCTCCCAGCTTTCCCTGGTGCATTCTGAAATACTTTTTACCTTGGTAACTGTGCCATTTGATCATGACCTCACTTGACCTGTGTTGGTTCCATTCAGTCATTAGGTTAACAGTGTTTATCACAGCTGACTTTGATCAGGCATAGTTGTTGCCAATTGGCTGATGATCTGATGATATTTTACTGGGTGACCTCATTTTACTTATTGACCAAGTCCTGATGGTCACTAGTACAGAGTTACAAGTTAAAAGCTACAAAGCAAAGGGGAAGATGGCTTGAATCATGTCATTTGCAGTCCCTTTTAGGAAAAATGGCATAGCAGAGGTATATTGGAATTTAAGATTCAAAACAATGGCAGGAAGATCCTTTTGGTTACAAAGGTAAAAGTACTGCTCTAGTTGTCTGAGTGTATGTGTGTATAAGGCTAGAAGCTGCAGAGGAAAGGCTACAGAATTGGATTTGGGACATAATCTGCCTTAAATTAGAAGATTGAAGTACTGTACTACGATGCTGTGAGCTGGTAGAATCAGAAAGCTTGAGACAAATTGATGTCTTTGATATTTTTTCTACTCTGTGGTTGAGTTGCATTATCAGAGCATACAGCCACTAAGAAAACTTTACTTCTGCCTGTTAATAGGGTCAACTCCAAAAGCAAAATACTGACCTCACCAAACTACTAGAAGTGAGCTTAGATTTTTGATGTGTGGTTGAGTGTGACTCAAGATCAGTAGAGAACTACTGAGGTTAAACTTTGGCTGTATATTCAAGATGTGCCAGAGTTAGTACACTGTTCTAGACAGTCCATAACTGAGGTATGTGTTTCTTCAATCATGTTCCAAACTTTTTCTTATGCAAAGCTTCACCTTGCTTGGACTGAGGTATCAAGATGGATGAGTATATCCACAGAGATATTTATTGGTTAGTGTAGTTTGGGTAAAGTGTGTGGAATTGTGCTTTGTAGAATTGACATGCCACACAACTGAGATGTATGTGGAGAGGAGGGGATAATGATTATGTGGCTGGGGTTGTATTATAGAGGAAGGTGGAAAGTCTGACTGATTTATGCTTCTTGAACATGTGTTCAGGAATAACAGAAAGAGGTGCTGCCTGCTAGTGGCATCTGTGGCTACAGGTACTGCCTGAGCAAAAGGATTGATAGTATCCTCTTATGTATTAATTTCTTTTTCTTGAAATGTTCATAAAATCCATCCAGTGAGTAGTCTGCTGAAGTAGTGTGAGTGAGCTATGTCACACGGGAAGCCTAAGTGAAGAAAATGGAAGCAATACTAAAAATTTTGAGTTGCTTTTCTAGATAATAATGACTCTCATCATGAAGAATGCCATGGGAAGAATGATGGAGCTTTGGAAACCATGACAGATACAGCATTAGTACCCTCAAGATGGTATGCTTAATGAGAATTCAAAAAAAAAAAAAAACAGTAGAAAAATTAGTTTACTTACCGGACTTGAATATTTTGCATCTCTTCAGTCTAAGTGGAATATTTCAGTAGCCCACTCATTACATCACTGCTACTTGATTTAGCAAGATAGTCCTAAAGTAATTGCTGCTTTCTCCAGCTGATGACAGATTGATCAACTGGTTGCTGCTGAATAGGAGGATTAGCAGTCAAATTGCAGGGTTTTTTTCTTGCTTTTGACTATATTTTAAGATTCAAGAGACAGATGGAGAGAACAGAAACTTCTGTTTCTCAAACCAAACCTTTTCTACAAGACTTTTTTCATTACTCTTGAGAGTTAAGTCACATTAGTCTGTAGCTACGCTTCATATAGTACCAGCAAAGGGTTAAACACAGAACAGTGGTTTCCTAGAAAGTTTTTTCTCTTTTGCCATTTGCTTAGTCCAGGAATATTTAATGACCTTTTGAATAATGCTGTTTTTCATAATATGACTCCTACAGATGCTTGAACATTGCCTACTAAGAGACCAAGGGAGTTAGCAAGGGAATGCTATCCATTCTTACATATCAGTAGATGTAGTTGCATGTAAGTCTCAGAGGCTATCAAAGTAATTAACAATTAACTCCTGATGTTCTTTCAGTGACTTCATGCAGCACGAAGGTTTTTCCGCTTCTGAGGCTACAGACAGGTAACATCAAAAACATTTTAAGGTGTGCTTTTCCTAGCAAGTGAGGACTATGCAGTTTTGAAAGATACGCAATTGGCATGAAATTTACCAGAAGTGAAAAGGGTGAAGATTTTGGTAGCCAAGTGATTGTTAAATATCAACAAGTTTCTCTATAGGAACAGACATATGGAAGCCAGACAAATGGTTCAAAGACTATGTATGTTGTAGAACGTTCTCAAGTCTGCAGAAGACTTTCCAGTTATCTTTTATAGCAGAATGCAGAAGACTTGTTTACAAGTGTATTGAAAAATCCCTTCTTTTTCTGTGTGCTAATCGATAGCAGAGTTTATTAATTTACTGTTTTTGGGAGGCTGATACACAACTAGGGCTGAAGCTGCTCTATTTGTCACACTGTTCTCCCTATAGTAAAATTGCTTTCTGATGACCGGGACGAATTGAGGGAAATCGTAACGGACAGATACGGAGCACACAATATATAACAGCCTTCTAAGATTTGCATTCCAGTTGTTTAATTTGTCTCTAAAATTGTTGGTGTTTTTTTGTCTAGTCACTTCCTCTCTCCCTCCTTGACAAGATTGTCGGTGCCATTGTTGTCAGAAGCATCTAACAACGGGGACCTGTCAATTGAAAAGGTAACCATCTATCTTTGAAATAAGTTAAATTTAGGACATGTCCTTTTTATATTGGTTGAAACTTAGACTTTGTGGAGAAGGGTTTTGGGGGTGGTTTTCTGGGGACTTTGGTTTCTTTTGTGGGGTTTTGGGAGTGCTCGTTTGTTGTTCTTTGAGCAATATTTTTACACATTTGAGTTAGTCTGGCAAAATTGTAAAAGCTAACTCTCAGTGACTTTGTTAAGCTTTAGGAAAGAACAGTACGAAGCAGCCATTGTATCTGGCTTCATGTATAACATACAATGTATGACTGATTCCCTGTTTGCTGAAACAGTCTTTTTGATGTGAGCAGTGATCAGACTTTGTTTCTTTAAGTTGTAAATGAAATTTAAGGGTTAAAATGTGGTGTAAAAGCAACTAGGATGTACGGTTGTCCATTGCACAACTGTACCATGATTAAGTTAGTTTCAAATGAGTCATCTGTGTTGTATATAATACCTATCACTACTTAGGTCCTAGTTTGAATACAGTGGTAAAAGTATTTTGTATTTAATTAGAATTCAAGACTGAAATATTTTTGTTGATGAAACACTGGGGCCATTGCAGTTCAGAATTTTTACAGCAGTTCATGCTACTATCCTTGCTTGAATTTAAAACTACTAATGATTCCTGTGTATTCCTGTAGAATTTGCATACTTGTGTGGGAGATAAAAAACTTGTGCCTCCAAAAATCTTCAGAAATGGACAGAAAGAATTTCCCACTTCAGCAATGGAGGAGAATGCAGATGAAAATACTACCCAGCCAAAGTCTCCTGTGAAAAAAGACAGCCTTGAAAAAGCCAGAGATGAACTCGCAGAACAGGTTAGGATGTACTTTTTTTTTCGTTTGGTTTCAAGTAAGTGATCCCTAAGTTAGAGAACAAATCACTAATTATAACAAAAGATTTCTCTTGTAATCCACATATATCGAAAGTTACCTTTTCTGATAGATAGTTATCAGTCATGGAATTTTGGAGTGGACTGATAAAGTACGTACTAAAAGATGGAGTTTGTGCAGGTATCATACTTAAAAATCATGCTGAAGTGAATAGCATGTTCAGTAGAATCATGGTGTGATTACCTTTCAGTCTGTGAAGTACTGCATATATTCAGAACCAAAAATAACTGTTCTATTCTTAAGTTATACAGGTTAAGTATTTAATAGGGACACGGTAATTTTAAGCAGGAATGTAAGGGGTTTTTTTAGGTATTTTATTTAATAATGACTGAGGAATTCTTTCACAAGAGTTATGGTAAAATGTGCCACATCTTATTTTAGAAAGTAAATTGCATTTTTCACTGAAATTATAGTTATTTTTCATCTGCTGAGATTTTTTTATTTATCTGAATGTATCTGTAGTGTTCATGCTTACGCTGTTATTGGCTGATGTCTTAAATATATTCTATCTGAGCACTCTTCCATATTTGAAAGGTGGATTCATAGATGATGAGTGAATTGAGAATTGAGTCTGATTTCAGTCCTTTTTCTTCATTTTGTGTTTCTAGGATACTGTGGTCATTGTGAACCTAAGTAGTAAATAACAGAAAAGTTAGGATATATCAAATGCTGCAGATAATTTGGAGCACGAGATTTATTTTGAACCATAACTGACAGAAACAAAGAGGTTATAATTTTGCTTTCTCAGAATTTGCTGTTCTCTAACATCCTACAGATTGTAAAGGCAGTGATGTCTGAGTCAACAGATAATGCTGAAGAAGAAGGAATGGCATTGGATGATGTCTTTAGCTCACTGTCTTTTAACACATTCTTAATGAGGAAACAAATAACCCAAACTCCAGAAAATCTGCGTGAGTTTGAAACTGTTTTTATAATGCTCCTTGATAAAAAATATGGTTAGTTCATTAACATGTCACACAAGAAGAAAACTATAATTATTTCAGTGATACTGTATGTTTTTCTAAAGGCTCACTCTGTAACACAACACAGTAGATGTAATATGATGTGAATACTGTGAATTTGACTCAAGAGATTATTTTTCTTACATAGAATCCCCTTTGTGTTGAGGAAGCATAATATAAAGCAGCTATACATATTCCTTCTTGGATTGCACATGTCACTGAGGGGACAGCATAAGAACAGACTGATTGAAAATACTAAAATTTTACCTTGGTTTGTTCCATTTAGTTACTGAAATTAGAAGTTCATGGAGAAGAGCTATTCAGACTGAGGGCTCGCTAGACCTAGAGCTGTCCTCAGCTGAAGTGGTGACAGAAGAATCTTCAATGAATGCTACACCCAGCATGCAGGAGGAGGTGGACTCTAGTTTTGTGTGCTCTGAACCTGCATCTCCTGTATCTGATTTAGGTCCTTCTGTGTCAGAAAAGAAGTCTCAATTAAGTTCTACAGAATCTAGTTTTCAGGAGCAGGTAAGTCATATATTTGAATCTTCAGATTCAAAAACATCTGGAATTCAAGAAAGTGAGAGAACTGAATCAGAGGAACTAGATTGTTCTGCTTTGAGTGGAAGTTCTGTAGAAGATCTAAGCCAGACTTCTCAAAATGCAGAGAAGAGCATGAATATTCCAGGTACTTGTTTGAAAAGTGATAGTAGAACAAATACAGGACCTTCAGACCACTGTTCCAGTTTTCTAATGGGTGGGACGCTACGCTGGAATATATCTGCATTAAATACTGTTGGTGATGAAACTACTGACATGGGAATATTGGATGAGACACTTCCAGAAATTGATAGTATAGATCTCAGCATGTCTCCAAGCTCAGAGTCCGTTTTTAATACAATGGACAGTGAAAATTTAATGGATGACTCGAAAAATAAGGAGGATATTAAAATATTGGACCTAGATATACAGTCCCCGCCCAACTCACGTGAAGTGCTAAAAAAGACTGCATCTAAAAGTGAAGAGGAGCTGCATCAAAAACATAATGGAGACAAATCTCGGAGTAATAGAGCTAGATTAAGTACAATATCAGAAGGAGGGGAAGATGATGATCCTTCCATGGATGAAGGGTTTACCACGATGCCATTGCCAAACTCTCCTAATGAAAGCAAATATTCCCTGTCATCTTTGCTGGTATCTGGTCAAGAGGATGGTACATGAGGGCCCACTAACTTACTACATAAATTGAAGGGTAAGTGTCTGTGTTCTTTATGCATCAAGACTTTTGTACATTCTGTCACTGGCTATACTACCATGAATAACCTCTGTGCAGTTGAACTGTGCTGTGGAACTGGAGGGAAACAAATTTGTATGCTTATTCCTCATAGAGGATGAGACGTTAGAAATAAAGGAAACATGCTTTAGTTCTAGAGTTTTATCAATATCTTTCAAGTACGAGAAAAGATGTTCATCTCACTTTCTGCCGTAATCTGAAGCTGTTTAAAAAAAGAAAAAGCCTTAAGGTGCACTAACTACAATCTACAGTTAGATTTTGAGTAATCTGAAGTTAGATTTTGAGAATTCACAAAGATAGTTTGAAGTTCTGTGTCTACTGTGAACAAATTTGGCTATTTAGAAATGAGTCATAGGTCATTGAAACTTCTGTGAGTTTATTAAGGTGTTGATTCTGTGAGTTTATTAAGGTGTTGATAGAACTATCCTGCATTCCAGTCCACCTATCCCCTTACCCCATTTCCAACTGAAGTGTCAACTGTTCAGCCAGTATTGCAGTGTTTAGTTACACATGAGGTTAAATTATTGAAATGCATTGATAAAAATGAGCTAGTAATGGATGAACTAAATTTTTCTGTGTAAACAGAAACATATCTGCAGGGGTATGATGAAGCAGGCCACTGCCTGCTTGGAATTGAGTCTGGCAAGGGATGTCAATGATAAGTACATCAGCAGGAAAAGGAAGATAAGGGAAAGTGGGGGGCCATTGTTGAAGCAGATGGGTGTCCTCGTGATGGAAGACACAGTGAAGGTGGAATTAGTGATTGCCTTCTTTGCCTTAGTCTTTACTGCTGAGGCTGTCCTTCAGGAATCACAGACCTCAGAGGTAAGAGGGGAAGGCTGGAGAAAGTAAGACTTGCCCCTGGTCACAGAGGGCTCAATTAGAGGTCAGCTATACAGAATTAATGCCCATAAATCCATAGACTCCAGTGGGATGGTCCCATGGGTGCTGAAGGAGCTGGCAGATACTGTTGCTAAGCTATTCTCCATTATTCTTGAGAAATGGAGGAGGTGCCTGATGGCTGGAGGAAAGCCAATGTTACATCCATCTTCCAAAAGGGAAGCAAGGAGGAAGCAGGAAACTACTGGCCAGTCAGCCTCACCGTCATCCCTATAATGGTGGTGGAACAGATCACTTTGAAGATCATCACCAAGCATGTAGAAGAAATGCAGATCATGAGGATGGATTCACCAAGTAGTCGGGATGCCCATTTGGAGTAGACAGGTGGAAATCATACTTCACCAATAGCCTTCTGATATGACATTGCATGATGGCTTGGCTAGGGGAGAGCAGTGGATAATGTCTGCTGTTAAAGAAACTTCCCAGTCTGGCCATTCATGAGACTCTCTGGTAGTGACATTGCCAGCGTCAGAGACTTTCACTGTTGGGTGTGAAGTCCCATCACTGTGGGTGACTCGAGTGAGCTGGCAGGTGCCCTGCTTGACTTCTTACATGCCCACACTCACATGCAGGCAGACCAGAGGTTCAACCCATAGTGTGTTCACTAGGTTTCCCATAGTGGTGTCTCAGATGTCTCAGTCCATAAAGCCATTTATTCATGGTGCAGTAACACAGAAGCAGCTCAAGCTGGTGCCTCTGAGCAGGAGCCCCAGCAAAGGAACCCTAGATCTTTTACCTCCTCTGTCTCTTCTTGGATGCAAGTCTTGCTCTTCCTCCTGAGTCTTCAGGTCTTCAGCTTCTGTCCCTATTCTGTGTCCATCCACCTAGGATGGTGTCACCAGTCTTCATCTCCTTTGTTATCCAAAAGGTAGACAATTCCCAGCTCCTGATGTGTCTGTCTGTCCATTCACCTGGCTGCTGTCATCCATGTTCATGGCCCTTGTTATCTTGAAGTTTGGCAGTTCACAGCCTTTTGCCTTGGGCTCCCACCCAGAGCTCACATTACATCAGTCATCAGCTTGGGTGTACATCTACATGGATCAGGTGGTGTCTGCACTACCTTAATTTCAGCAAGGGTTTTGATGTCTCCCATAACATCCTCACAGGTAAGCTCAGGAAATGTTGGTTGGAGGAATGAACAGTGAGATGGATCAGGAAGTGGCTTAATGGCAGAGCTTCAGAGGGTCATGATCAGTGCAGCAGAGTCCAGCAGGAGGCCTGCAGTCAGTGGTATTCCCAAGGGATCAGTACTGGGACCAATCTTACTCATCAGTGATCTGGAGGAAGGGAGGGATCAAATGCACCCTGGGCAGGTTTGCTGGTGACGCTAAACTGGGGGCAGTGGCTGATCCACTCTGCTGCCATTCCCTGGGACCTTGATCAGCTGGAGGGTTGGACAGAGAGAAACCTAATGAGGCTCATCAAGGGCAAGTGTCAGGTCCTGCTCCTGGGGAGGAACAGCCCCAAGTGCCAGCACAGGCTGGGGCTGACCTCCTGCAGAGCAGCTCTGTGGAGAAGGACCTGGGACTCCTGGTGGATCACAAGTTGTCCATGAGCCATCAGTGGCCCTGTGGCCAGGAGGGCCAGTGGTATCCTGGGGTGCAGAGTGTGGCCAGCAGGTCGAGGGAGGTGACTCTCCCCATCTACTCAGCCCCAGTGAGGCCACACCTGGAGTGCTGTGTCCAGTTCTGGGCTCCTCAGCACAAGAGAGACAAGGAGCTGCTGGAGAGGGTCCAGTGGAGAGCCACAAGGATGGTCAGGGGTCTGGAGCTTCTCTCTTGTGAGGAGAGACTCTGGGAGCTGGGCCTGTTTGGTCTGGGGAAGACTGAGAGGGGATCTCATCAATGCATAGAAACATCCCAAAGGTGGGTGTCGGGAGGATGGTGCCAGACTCTTTTCAGTGGTGCCCAAAACCAGAATGTGGAGTAACAGCCCTAAACTAAAACACAAGACATTTCACCTCAACGTGAGGCAGAGTTTCTTCACAGTAAGAGTGGCAGAGCACTTGGACAGCTGCCCGGGGAGGTTGTGGAGTCTCCTTCTCTGGAGACACTCAAACCCCACCTGGACACATTTCTGTGTCACCTGCTTTAGGTGACCCTGCCTTGCTGGCGGGGGTTGGATTGGATGATCACCAGAGGTCCTTTCCAGTGCTAACTATGCTGTGATTCTGTGATTCAGTGAAGTACTTGGAATCTAATATAAACTAGTCTCAAGGAGTAGTGAAATTTTTCTTTGCACACTTTCTGCAATATAGGTTTCATATAGAACTGCTGCTGTGTTGATAGCCACTGATTGGAGCACTTGTCAGAATTACAGTACCATTTCATATATGCTTTATTAATACATGTGAAACAACTTAAGTATTCCTGCCTTACAGAGTGCAGACTAGTATGTTTTCTCTTACACATAAGAACAGTTGAAGCCAGGCACAAAGGAACCTTCATCAGGATGGAATTTGTAAAGCAGCAGCCTAACCACAGCAGTGCATTTATGATTCACTTGAGCGTGCAGCATCTTCTCCAAGCATTGTCTGGATCGGGAAGTTGTGCTTATTTTGGTGGACACTCCATTCCAGTCTCCTTGTTTAGGAGTGTCATTTGCCTGCTCTGGCACTGCCAATTTCATATAATCCACTGTGGCTTTCTGTGTACAGCCCATCATTTATATACAGAACTATATATTTTTTAAGTGTATTATAAACAGCAGATGTTGAATAAATGGCATAACCCTAGAAAATGAAAAAAATGAAATGTCAAAAGAGAAATAGTGAAATCTGTTAATTTGCTCCTAATCCACATCTCGTACCCCATCACAACCCTCTATCCAACAGATTGAAATTTTACTTGGTGCTCTGCATTCCGTTGCGTTAATCTCTCTTACTGAGACTTCTCGTCTATATTGCCATCAATTCTACTTTTTGATAGAGGATGTGCCCTTTTTGTAAACTTCACTGGAGTGCATATTTCTTTAGCTGTATTACTGAATAAATGCTTTACACTGAAGTTACAAAATTTACTGCTTGTGGTAGTGTTAATGCTACTTGATTTAAAGAACTGACATGCACTTATTATGTTGTGATGTAAAAGATAATAGAGCCTGTGGTTAAGTAAGAACCTACCAATTGAGATTCCAAGAGGAAACTTCTTGTAAAAGTACTGACTCCTAACCTAATGTGCTTAGAGTCATCGCTAAATAAAGTTGCTTTCTGTTCTGGATTGTCTTCTCCTTTCTTCTGAAACAGTTGCCTTGGGTTTCCAAGAAGCTCCACCTATATTTGACATCTTCCTTACAAAGCAGAATTTGACAGGCTCTATGAAAAGGCATGTAGTTGGTTGAGGAAGTTATAATATGTATCATGTGGCTGTGTATGTTAGCAGGTTAAGAGGGAATAGCCAATTTACATGTTGTTCAGACAGTGAATCAGCTGTTCTCCAGGTCTGACAAGTGGCAGGTGGGCATCAGTCTCCCATGTAACAGGGGACAGGGCAAAGGAAATGGCCCCAAGTTGTACCAGAGGAAGTTTACATGTGAGGAAAAATTTCTTCCTGGAAAGGGTTATAAAGTACTGATAAAGGCTGGCCTGGCAATTGGTGAGGTCACCATCCCTGGAAGTTGAAAAAAAGTGTGGATATGGCACTTCTCATGCTTTAATGGTGTGTTAGGTCATTTGTTGGACTTGATAGAAAAGGTCTTTTCCAACCTAAGTTTAGGATTCTATTAGCACCTTGGCTACTGGCTGCCTGGAACAGGCCCAGCAGTGTTCTGTCCAGGCCTTGACAGCTTGGCACTGGTGACTTCACAAAGCATTGCCCAGGTAGCTAGGTGGGCTGTGGGCTAACTGCATGTAAGGATGTGGATAATAAGATTGTGGCCTATCTTAAGCAAAGTTAAACTGCATTTTGTGTTGTTACTGCATTGTCAGTTTGGGATTAAAAACGGCATCTAAAAATTTTGGGTTTCCTGTGAATACCAGGCCTCATATTTTGAGTTATGTATAAAAGCAGAATCTTTCCTCCTTGCAGTTAATTATAACACTGATTTTTGTATTGTAAGTAGTAGCTCTCCTGTCCACTGTCGTGTTGGATACTAGTTCATTTTTGGTTTGGTTTATATTGGAAGTCCATCATAATTAATTTGAAATTCTAGGTAAAATTTCATTTAGACCATTAATTTACTGATAAATAAGGGGAAGTTTACAACAGCAGTGTATTATGAGAAGCCAGAAGATTAACCCTATGACTTCTTTTAACCTTGGTATTTGCTGAAAATGAATACAGTATTCCTAATGTACAATTTTAAATATCTTAAGATACCTATCTGAAGTTCTTGCCCATTAAGCCTGGAGATTTTCAGTTTCTCATTAACTTCCTAATCAAAAGATTCCTTTGTTCAGCTTCTTAAAAAAGTGTGCAATTTGGGCTTCTGAAGTTAAGTGCACTGTATTATCATTAGCTGAAATATAGTGCAATGAACAGTACTACACTTTCCTCTCCAGAGGAGAGTATGCCGTAATTTTGTGCAGTTCAGCAGAGCAGCCAGTATTTCACACTTTAGATTCACCTATTATTACAAGGTAAGCTCCAGAAGGATAGCTTTATGAACTTCTGTATTCCTTGGTATCTTTTTTTTTTTTTTACTTTGGAAGATTATACTTAGCTTTTTTTTGACAGAGCTTATATGCTTTTTCACAAAGGTTTGATGAAATGTCTGGAATATTTTTCCTCCAAGTACTATAATATTTACTGTATCATGAGCAATGTGATACACAGAGTGTATCAAGTCTCAAGAAGAGTCAGCTGAGAAGGGACCTCATCAGTGTCTTTGTCTTTGAGAGAGGATGCCAGTGGATGGATCCAAGCTCAGTGGTGATGAGCAGTAGCACAAGAGTCAGTGGGCAGAAACTGATAGTTTATATAGTTATAGTTAGTTCTACCTGAACGTGAGGAAGAACTTCTTTACTGTGCAGTGACAGAGCGCTGGAGAAGATTGCCCAGAGAGGGTGTGGAAGTCTCCCTCACTGGAAATATTCAAGACCCATCTAGATGTGATCTTCTGCCACATGCTCTGCAATGACTGCTTCAGCAGGGAGGTTGAACCAGATGACCTACTGTGGTCACTTCCAGCATGACCCATTCTGTGATTTTATCAAGTACTACAGTGTCTAGTAGTAGCGTGTCTGTCCTGGGTTGATGATGTTAAATTGTATCCCCATTCGTCCACCTAACCCAGACACAGGTTTTGTATTCTTAAAATTCCATCTCAGAGTAAAAGTGAGTGGAAAAGAAGCACCGAGTCTGTTATCAGAGATTGTACTTGCTCCCCCCGCATCGGGAGCTTTGACTACAGCACAGGCAGACAACAAGACACAGATCGCCTTGGCTTTCCAACTAGCCGGAGCAGAGAGGTCTTCCTGGACTGTTTTTCCCTTTTTTGAAACAAATCGAACCTGCTCTGGACTGGGGACTCGGGGGAGCACCGGGAGCTTGCACCCGTGGACTACCGGGAGCCCAGCCTGGGCAGCGGCATTTTCCAGCGCCAGAGAGACTGATAACAGAGCGAACAGCCACAGGAAAGAGACCCTCTGAAGTTTGTCATCTCTTCTGAAGAGCGAGAGGTTTTGTAATGTGGTATCATTCATTTTTGTGCTGGGTAGTGCTGTGCCTGTGAAATAAACAGGTTTTTTCCACTTCTCTCAGAGAAATCTCTTCCCGAACCAGTTGGGGGGTGGGAGAAAAGTGCCACGTGGGTTTGCTTCCCAGGGGGTCCCCCATTGGAGGTTTTCTCCCAAATTTGCCCTAAACCAGGACAATACTCAATTTGTAGCTGTGACAAAATATAAATTGCTCTTAAGTTATATACAGGATAACACATAACTTTGTAGTCTGTGCTTTGTATGTACTGTCTGTACTGGACATATATCAGTCTATTTTTATTGAAAAGTAAAGCTGAAAGAACATTTGAATGTCACTAATTCACTGAGCATTGAAAAACGCAAGTACAGTCCTGTCCGTGAATTTTTGCAAGTAATGGGAGAGAATCGGGAGGGTAAAACCTACAGAATTAGGGGATTGAGCCCCATACCAGCCCCTGTGAACAAAATCAGCTCTACCCCAGCCAAAACAGACTGGGGGAAGGTGGGATGAATAGGGACTTTAAATACTTAAAATATGATTAAATTCAGAGAGTCTTTTAGCAAGCCTGAATTACATTCATGGCTTGATAGTTCTAGTTCAGTCTTCTGTGTTGCATCATTTGGAAAAACTTTGGCAGAAATTACTCTATTGGTAGTGATGGCAAAATCAGCTGGATTAACTCCAGTGGAGCACTGTTTGGAGGTAGCTTTTCTAAAGGAGAATACTTTCAGACCATCCTCCCTGGGGATATGTACTTACACTTCAGTCTATGTGGAGCTGTTGAGCTGTGTCTGCTGGATTGTGCATGGGCTTACAGCTGGGGAATTCTGTATGTAACTGGCAAAAAGCACAACTGCAGTTCCTTTTTGTCTCTATTGTGGGTATTTTATCACTTCTAAAGATCTTGCTTGTGATAGTGTTTTTCTGTGGCACAAACACTGGTTTCTGATTTATTTATCTGTAGGCAGTCATCCCAAGGTGTGAATCTAGTCCATAGCCACTCATGTTTTTCTAGCAACCCATTTCTTACAGCTGCATACATTTTACTAGTTTGCATGTTGAAATACCAGTTAGAGAAAGCTGTAGAAAAGTTTCTCATATTTATTATAAAGTACTCCAGGAGCCAGGGACACAATAATTTCCAATCATTTCACTGGTATTGGCACATTATTAATTGTTTTAAAGAGTTGATTTACACACCTTTTTTTTTTTTTTAAGGAGCTCAGTAATGACACAAGTGGTCATTGTTCGAAGAGGCTTTCAGACTAAAATCTAGTGAAGAATCCCACTGACCCATTTATTTATCCTTCTGAGACCCCTCTTGATGGCAACACACACAGTGAGTGTATCAAACATTTCTCCCAGTTTTGCATCATTTGCAAACTGCCTGAAGATGCTGTGTCTCATGATATATGTAATTTATAAAGATATATAATAGTTTTTACCGCATTTTCCAGTCATTTTCAATGGCAGCCCTCTGACTGACTTTGTGCTCCTCATCACAACTCTGAATCCACCAGCTCGGAACATTAATTAATTAGTCTCACAGTCCACTTATCTAAGCCCGTATTTCCATCAGTTTGTTGATGCAGTTTTTGCAGGTGACAGTGTCAAAAATCTTACCAAACTCAAGATATACAATATCTACTGCTCTGTTCCTCATCCTACAGAAGACTGTACCAACCCGGTCTTGTAGAAGGTTTTCAGTTTGGCTTAAACGTGATCTCCCTTTCATGCTGACCGCTACAAATAATCTCCGCCAGCTGACTTGACAGCCAGTGTCTGGAACTGATTTTCCAGGATTATTTACTCAACAATCAAGGACTGAGGTTGAAATCCTTCTCACCTTTCTTTAAGACAGGACTGATGTTTACTTTCTCCCAGACATAAGGAACCTTTCCTGGTTGTCACAACCTTTTAACAACAGAGAGGATCGCCTCAAAATTACATGTACCAACTCCTGTACTGTTTGTGGGTACTCCATGGACCCAAGCATGCCATTTGTTTAAGTGCTTCCCAACATGTTCCTCTTCCTTGACCCAGTCCTTTCCATCGATCTCAAGGACATGGCATTGCTGGAAGCTAGTCATACCGGTAGAGACCGGGGCTGAGAGAGTCAGAGGTCACACTTTCACCCTTCAGTGTAGTTTGTGTGCTCAGAGAACATGAACAACCAGCCCTTGCAAATCAAAACTGTTGATCTTGAAGAATGGTAAAAGCATTGGTGTGAGCCAAGAATGATTTCTTGGGGGTTGACCAGCTGTGCTGGCTTTCATTTTAGGCAGATTTTCTGCAGTAGGAGGAACAATCTGTGTGTTAGTGCTGGTCAGGCAGGTAAGCTTTCTTCATCATTTGTCTTTAAGTCCTCTCCCTGCTGCTTAGAAGGTTTAGCTTTGGAAGCCTGTACTAGTTATCAGTTAAGTATTTCTTGCAACTGTTGTTTTTCAGTTAGTGGGAAATGCTAGTGGTTAGAAAATCCTGACTTTATGAAGGACTTACACTTCAATGCTCTGGCAGTAATTTTTTAACTTCTTGCATAAGTAGGAGCGCTATATTAATATTTATTTTTACATATTATTTCAAAATATAAATTTTGAAAATGTTTACTGAATAGAAAAATAAAAACTTGCCTAATTGTAATGCAAGTGGGTTAAGAAGGCATGCTGAAGACACCTTGTCCTTCTGACAGTCCAGGTTATTGCATGTATGGTAAAGGGTCACTTAAAGGGGATTTATGAAAAGGATCCTTAATCCCCCTGTGAGATCACTAACCTTGTTTCTCTCTAAGTAATTACTCCACAAATAATATCTCATTGATTCCTGTGGGATAAAGTCCAAGACAATGGGAGCAATTGTATTTACCATTGTTTAATGGCCCGAACTTTTCACCAGAAGATGGCAGCAGGCTCATGTTAGTCACAAATATTTCTGCTGCTTATTGTTGGATAAACCTGGAGATACTGTGCTAGATACTTGAAACTGAGTAGCTTATCAGAGCTGACACCAAGTAACCTGGCATGGCGAAGTGTTGCATGCCGAGCCTTTTTGTGGGTTTCTGGCTCTGGCTAGCTGCTGGCCTGCAAGTGCTCTGCAAGTCTTGGTCAATGTTTGGTGATGTCCTTTGCTGAATCGCAGTAGAGACCCAAGAGAAGACAATGGGTTACCAGCTAACACCACCCATTTGTCCTCAGAGAATCCTTTAGGCTGGAAAAACCTTAGGAACATCAAGTCCAGCCATTAACTTTTCAAGTCTACCAGCAAACCGTATTCCTAAGTGCCATGTCTACATGGCTTTTAAGTACCTCCAGGAGTGGGCATGCAACCATGTCCCTGGGCAGCATGTTCCAATCTTCAACAGCCCTTTCCATAAGGAGATTCTTCTTAGTATCCATTCTAAACCTCTACTGGTGCAACTTGAGGCCATTTCTTGTCATCCTATCAAGGAGAAAAGACTGACAACCAGGTTGGCTACACCCTCCTTTCAGGTAGCTGTAGAGAGTGACAAGGTAACCCCTGAGCCTCCTCTTCTCCAGGCTAAACAATCCCACCTCCTCGAGCCACTTCTCATAGGACTTGTGCTTTTGGACTTCTCACCAGCTCCATTGTCCTTCTCTGGACACACTCCAGCAATTCAGTGTTTTTCCTGTAGTGAGTGAGAGGCCCAAAAGTGAATACAGTGTGACCTCAGAAGCGATGAACACAGGGAAATGATCCCTTCTTTGGTCCTGCTGGCCACACTATTGCTGATTGTTGAGGGTTAGGTGTCCTCTTTTTTTGATTTTGTTGTTCTGGCCTGCCCGTGGAATTGTCACCCTTTAGCTGCAGAGACAACCTAACTGTGGATATTTAGTGGGTGATTGATAAAGGACAAAGAGTGGCCGGGCCCAGGGGGGGAAGGGGGCAGGAAAGGAGGGTGGGGACAGTTTTTGGCTGGCTTTCTTCGGCTTCGGGAAAAAGACATTTTCGTTTTTCCTGGGTCGTGGAGCTGCTGCAGTGGGGAGAAGGGAATTTTCGCCATCACCCAGACGGAGCTGCTGCTTCTTCTCCTTCTCCCCTCTTTGTTGGTGGCCTCTCCCCCCCTGCCCTGCCGGGACGTGTGGCAGTGCCAGCCACCGCCGCGGAGCTGCTGATACACCTCATCCACCGGCCCAGGATCTCAGCTCGTCCCTGCTGTTCCAGCCGATTGTTCCTCGGAGCCCTGCAGGAGCACCGGGACTGACTGCCCGAGGGGTTTGTGAAAACAAAGCCTCTCCTCCATCCCGTCTCAGCCGAGAAGGCTGTCCCAGGGTCCCTGGTTCTGTTTTCTTGTTATTGCTGTAGTTATTGTTTGTTTGTTTGCCTGGTTATACTAGTAAAGAACTGTTATTCCTATCCCCAGATCTCTGCCTGAAAGCCCCTTGATTTCAAAATTATAATAATTCGGAGGGAGGGGGTCTACATTCTTTCATCCCAAGGGAAGCTCCTGCTCTCCCTAGCAGACACCTGTCTTCTAGAACCGAGACACGAGACACTGATACAGGCCAGGATGCCATTGGCCTCCTTGGCCACCTGGGCACAGCTGGCTCGTGTTCGGCCGATGTTGACCAGCATCCTCAGGTTCTTTTCCTCGGGCACCTTTCCTGACAGTACTTCCCCAGCCTGCAGCACCACCCTGGGCTGTCGGAACATGTCAGGTGCCCAGAGGGCAGTCCTGCACCACCTGCTCTTAGAGAGCTGAGGCTCAGAGCCCCTGACCAGGGGCTGAATTACAGCAAAACTATGCCATGTGATTAATTAAAAAGTTTTATTTATGGTGGGAATGATTTAAATCTTATGGTAGGTTGTGGCAGCAACGATTTAAACTTCACTTGACAGCATGTGACAATAGTGATTGTTGAACAGCCTGCAGCAGCCGTGATTCAAACTTCTAAGCAGGGGAAGAAAGGAAGAAGAAGAGAGAGGAAAAGAGAGGTAGAGAAAACAGATCTCTGTCACCACCCAGGGCTCCAGTACTGCCTCTAGTCTCTTTTCTCTGGATGGCAGGTGCACAGATGATGGGTGCATACCCTCACCTGTCTCTATTGCTCTATTTGTAGACTAGTCCTTGCATGCACATTTTGTTATATCTGCATGCCAGTGGAGAAGTACTTCTGATGCAAGAAAGTGAATTTGCTTGTGCCAGGAAGAAAACTCTCTGCCCTGTACCAAAAGATTTGGGCAGTGAAATAGGTTCAGGATGTTGAATGTTGGATGGTAAAGTTGTTTTCTTCTCAATCTTCTTGTGGTTCTGCAAGGTTGTCCTAGAGTTAAGTAACACTGCCCCAGTATCTTAAGTAGCTCTTTTAAAGCAATAGCTGAGAAAAAGCTGGCTATCTGGACATGCTGATGTTTCTTTGCCCAACTGGTGTTTTGCTGTAAACTGTTCTGATGTTACCTCCCCAGCCTGGGCTGAGCTGGTGTCCTGTGTGTTGTCTGGGAAGGCTGTTGTTGCCTCTCTCCTGTGTTTCCTCTACGCACTAGATAGCCTGCTATAATTATTGCCCTTTAAAAGGAGTTACGTCTTCTGCTGTAATTCCACTGTGGAACAGAGATAGCTCTATGTAAAGCCATTACCCTTGCTGGGTGGAAAGAAGGGGAGACCTGGCTTGGCTGTGGTTATCAAGAGCTGCCTCTGTTCCTTTTGCAGTGTCCATGTTTTCAAATGCAAAAGGCTTGTGTGTTTCACCAACTGCTTGCATAATATCCACACTTTATTAGCTGGTGGAGATAAGGGGAAATATTCATTTCTTTGTGTGTCCAGAAAAAGGAGCATATATTTTTCTGGAGCAAAAAAGAAATAATGAAATTATTCTTCCGGGTAATTTCAGGACAGATTACATAGATCAAGAAGTGTTGCCACAGGAACCCAAACCATCTTAAAAGCATGTCAAGAGACATGAGAATATGGATTTGACCTCCACTTACAGACATGATTATAACTTGTACAGTATGTCTCAAGTATCTCCATGCTGCTCCTGGAGGATGAGGAGACATATCCCCAGGGCCAAGATGCATATAAGAACTACTTACAAAGGTAAGCTGCCCTTGCAGCTTTGTTCAAGACTTCACAGGTAGCTTTATTTTTTAAGAAGACAGATTAAAACAGTGTGCAGTTTTTATTCCTTCTGTACATGTATGCTAACAAGCTGTGCAGGAACCATGCAGACAGAAATAGGTAGTTGGTAATACAGTGCTGCGTTAATGGTCGCTAATGCATATAATGTGTTAATGAGATCTCTCTGAATTCACTTCCTTTCCATATCTAACAGGCCTATAGGAATCCTAGGTAGAAGCAGGGCCATGGGAGTTCCTGTATGTTGATCCAACAACAGCATGTTTAGGATGTACTGAACATATTACTGGTATACTGCATAGCTGATCCACACATTCTATGGGTGAGACACATCTAAAATATACAGAATTTCCTAGGTCTGAGCAGTTCATGAAGCATGAGACCCTTTCTGTGTTTCCTGCAGAGGTATTCCGTGAATGTACAAGAGATGTATACAGGAAATATAGACAGACAATGCACTCCAGCTTTACTGCTGGTAAAACAGGTCAATTGTACATCTAACTATGCCCTTGTTTCTCAGTTGCACTAACTTAGTGATTTGTCTTTATGTGAGCTTTTTTCCCTCCTCTTCAGCAGCACAAATTGTCTTCCCTGTGCACTGGGAGAAAACTTTCACTTACACAGTTACAATAACCCTACTAGTTTTGGTAGTAAGTCGTAAGTATAGAGTCAGATGATTTTACCTCCATTCTGTTCACCTTTCAGCTAGCTAATGTGGGTAGGTAGATAGATAGTTTCTGTGTGCTTCTGTATTTTACTTTATTATGCTGTGCAAATATAATAGCTTATGACTGGTGCTTATTATTGGCAGATTTGTCCCAATGTCACAGACAATATTTTTATTTGAAGTCAAAATGATAAAATAAATTGCCTTTTACTAGGCATGTGAATGTATCATTAAAATTACCTGTCTGAAATGATTGAAATTTATACTTTATTCTAATTGCTGCTTGTTTGCAGCACAGGAAATGTCCATTTAGAATGACTTGAGTTGTGAAGACTATGACCCACAGATGCAAAATATCCATATCTACACACTTTTGAACACTTTATTTTGCATAGGTAATGTCACCAGATGATATTCATTGGCATATCTTCAGTGAAACAAAAAAAAACGGCTGCTGTGTGCAAGTGGAGGATCTGTCCTTCTGTGTTTAGATATCCTTAACTTCATATCTGAAAGATACGTATATTTTCATCTTTTTTCAGTGTTTAGGTCAGCACCATAAGTGTAACTCCAGAGTTCTAATAAAAGGTATCACAGCCACATTTGGTTATAATTTACAGTATTTTCCCAAATACTGCAAATAGAAATCTTTGTCCAAGCCCTCTAAAAGATTGAGTTGTATACTGAATGAATTGTCTTAAAGACCCAGGTTCAACAAAAAGAATTGCAAGCTTTCATTGTGCTATTCTCTAAGCATTGCTAGGTTTTAGTGATCCTTACCATGGCTTAACCCCAGGCAGCAGCCGAGCCCCATGAAACCACCTGCTTGCTCCCCTACAGGGATCAGGGAGAGAATCAGAAGGGTAAAAACTGGAAAACTAATGGGTTGAGATAAAGACAATTTAATAGGGAAAACAAAAGTTGTGCACAAAAGCAAAACAAAGCAAGGAGTTAATTCACTGCTTCCCATGGGCAGGATGGTATCCAGCCATCTCCAGGAGCACAGAGGTCCATCACAGGTATCAGTGACTCGGGAAGACAAACAACATCGCTCCAAATGCCTGTCCACAATCTTCTTCCCCCCCACTTTATGTACTGAGCATGATGCTATGCGGTCTGGAATGTCCCTTTGGTCACTTTGGGTCACCTCTCCTGGCTGTGTCTCCTCCCAGCCTCTGTACTTCTCCTGGCTGTGTCACCCCCAATTTCCCCACCACCATGGAGTACAAAATGCAGAAAAGGCCTTGGCTGTGTGTAAGCCCTGCAATAACAAAAACATCTCTGCATTATCAACTCTTGTGTTCAGCACAAATACAAAACACAGTCCCATGCCTGCCATTGTGAAGAAAGTTAACTCCACCTCAGCCAACACCAGCACATCTACCCAAGTATGAAATTTTGGAACATTGTATTAAATTAATTATCATAACTGAAATATTGGAACAGCATCTGAAATAGTACTGCTTTGGTATTGTTACTTTTCCTACTGTAATGTCATGTTGTTTCCCACAGAACACATCATATACCAAATGATGCTGTAGGGTTAAGATGATGCTTATGCTTACCACAGTTCATGTCAGATGACTTTGCAACTTTAAGTTTCAAAATTCTCATCTTCAGGCTACACACATGGCTATTTCTACCTATTCCCAGATATGTAATCTAATTGTGCCTAACCCTCCAACAACATATGGTTCATATCCTGCATTCCCTCCTGTACCCCCTAATGTTTTCAAGGTTGTGCAACATGGGAAACTATTAATATCTATGGTTAAGAATTAGAGTTACAATAAAACTGTAACATATTTTATAGGAATAGTAGCACTGCTGGCTTACACTAAGTAAAATAAATTCATAATGCCTATGAGGTCTCCAAATGTGTAGAGCTTATAAATTTTAAAAATTGAAGACAGATGGACTTGCTTATCATATTTTGAATATTTTGCAAGAGCTGTGGTTACATCCAAAATGCGCAGAGTGTTCTCCAAAAAGATGAAGGAAGAACCTGAAAAGTTTTTTGGTAACTCTTGGTTGGTGGCTGAAATGTGAGATCTCTGAACAAACCTCTTCTTAGAGGTGGTCTGAATCTCATTAGCTTCTCACTTTTAAACACCT